GGGCGGGGCGGGCGGGCGGCTGGAGTAGCTGCCCATGCTGGTGGCCACGCCGGCCATGCGCTCCTTGGTCTTGAGGGCGTGGGCGCGCTCCTGCTTCAGGCGGTCCTCGTCGCGCGTCAGCGCCACCAGCTGCTTGGCCTTCTCGCGCACGTTCACGCCCTGGTCCTTGCCATCGCGGTCCACGTACTGGAAGTCCTTGAGCGTCTGGATGGCGAAGACGTTCTCCTTGCACTGCTGCGCCACGCGCTCCGAGCCCGTCTTGATCAGGTAGTCCAGCAGCGTCAGCGCCTTGTACACGTGGCGCCAGTTCTTGCCGCTGTCGTTCAGCCGCTTCCAGATCATGCCCATGACCTCCGTGAAGGCCACCACGTTGAAGGTCAGGTCGGAGATCTCGGACATCAGGGAGCTGGAGGGCCCCCAGGGGTCATTGGAGGTCGCCTCCCTCACCTTGATCTCCGCCTCGGAGTAGTTGTGCACGATGTTCTTCACCTGCCGGCGCAGGGACGAGGTCGTCATGGCGGACGGCTGCTGTGGCTGCCTCCTCTGCGCGGCAGACTGGCTGGGAGCAGGCGCCACCCCACCCGGCCCTCCTGGCACAGCAGGGCGGGGCCGCACGCGCTTGGATCAGGGGCCACACCAGAGAAGACGGGGGGATCATGCAGGGCCACGTGCCTGAACACAGCAGAAAGGGTCAGTCACCCCAGAGCCCCAGCAGCTCCACATGAACCTTTACCACGGTACACGAGCTGCGTCTACCAGGGTTTCACCATGGTGAAGTCCCACAGTTGTGCTTCGCCACAGCTTTCCTTTACTTTATCTCCAATTTCCCTGTGCCTCCCACAGCACATGGCTGGAATTCAGATACAAACGGATATCCACCATGTGACATTCCTGGCACAATTTAACCTGTGATCCACAGGTGCAAAACACAACAAAAACAGCAAAAACTTCAAAACTGAAGCCATCAGCATCTGAGAAAAAAAACACTTGCACAGGCAGATCTCAAAACTGTAAAAACAGCTTAAGGTATTCTCTGATTGTAATTTTCCAGCTTGCTCTTGCTCGGGAGGGTTGGGCTACAGCTCTTAAAAGAGCCGAACTCCGAAAAACCCTGCAGGCAACCTGAAGGAACAAAAGAAACACCCTCCTACACCTGCTCATTGTCTGCCGGGGTCACAGAAAAGAGCAAGGCTCCGTCTTAACTCTTTCACCACCACGTGACGTGACAAGGTCAGCCGTTCTGTACAGGGGAGCTGGTGACTGAGCTGGAATTCCTGCACTCAGAAGCTGCAGCTGAACAAGCACAACACGAAGATCCGGCGCTGCAGCTGCGACTCCAGCACCCAGCCACGCCGCGTCACGGGGGTGTGCAGGGCCAGCCCTCCGGGCTTCACCACAGCTCCTCATCAAACCTCAAACCGTGTATTCCATTCAGACACGGGCAGCTCATCTCTCAGGGAGAAGCGAGATATTTCAAAAGATCTCTAATTGACATCACTAAAGAAAAGAACAGCCTGAGAGGTAAATTATCCTTCAGTTTTAGGAGCTGAGGACTCCTGCTGTGGCCCTGTGAGGCCACAGGGAGTCGATGGGGTTTCATTTCAAACTCTTCTGTCGGAGGAACAGTCAGTGAAAGCGATGAACACTTTCACACTCTGGTTCTTTTACAGACAGAATGGAGAGGGAACAGCCTCACAGCCTCCCTTCCAATGTAGGAAACATCAGTTAATACTAAACAACGATAAAACTCAAGACAATGCCAATCCCTTCCTTCTTTATGTAGTGGCAGAACGCCAGCCCCTGAAAGCCCTCGAAAACAGGGTGCCAGCTGTGCCAACATCCACTCAGCGAAATTCCCTTGAATTCCCCAATGGGGGAATTCAGCAGCCATCCCAAGCCAGTGCGCCCTGGTCCAGGCTGGGAGCAGGAAGCAGCTCTGGCCTCCGAGAGTGAGTCAGCGCAGGTGGGGTCTGGAGCTACTGTGCTAACAGCTACAGGGCTGTGCCAAGGAGGTGCGCAGAGGTGGGGGGGGGGGACCACAGGTGGAAGAGCAGCAGTTCCCACAGCACAGCAGCCCTTTCACAGCTCTGAGACCAGCAGGAAGTATCCTAATCACTCCCATAGTCGATTCAGGACCCAAGACAACTGTCTCAACTGCACAGCAGCCTTTACAGTAAATGAGGGGGCACCGTCTGGGAAACTCTGCCTACAAAGTCTCCCTCCTGGCTGCAGCTCTGGAGGGCTGGGCTCAGTGAGAGCTCCTGCAGGCCCAACACGACTGCCTGGAAAGGCCAGATGCTGCAGTAAGGCTTTCCAGACCAGCACTCGAGAGCACATCAGAGCTCCTGGGCTGCCAGCAGAGCGGAATGCACATGTACCCGACTCAATCAGAAATGCATTTCACCTTTCTGAAAATATGTGGCTGCACAAGGGGCCTGGCTGTTTAAACTGCAGGAGTCCGCCTGGGGGTCCGACAGGGATCTGACACGGCAGAGGCTCCACCTTCTTGACAGGCAGCCAAGCTCTTCTTTTCCCAGCCCTGCTGGGAAACTGGCACTGTGCTGGACTTTACTGAGCTTCCAGGAGGAGGAAAGACACCTGGTTTGGTTTTCTGCTACTGCTATGAAGAGGACTCAGTATATTACAGCTCCGCAAAGTGCACAACCTGGGAACCCAAGATCTAAAAGCTAAGGCTGTCAGCTGACGATGTCTAAGACCCCCTGGCCACGGCAGCAGACTTCACTTCACACTGAACAGCAGCAGTGGGTCGATCCGCATTAACAGGAGGAAAAGGGTTTTCCCAGAACAGGGCTTCTGGCCGTAAGCATATGCAAAACAGTATTTCTGTGGAACTGGACCAACCCGACAGGCGTGAACGGTGAGCTCTCGCCCCACAGGGTTGTGTCCGAATAACTGTGTCACAGCGGAGCGGGAACTGCAGACAGGCTGCGCGTGCACAGCGGCCGCCTGCTCGATGGGATGAGGACACCAGGTCGGGAACAAAGACAGGCCCTGCTGAGCTCAGCGCTGCAGCCTCCTGCACCGTGTGCCTGGGAAAACAAGCTGAACCCCTGACGTCCGCAAATTCCCTGGGCCTCCCACTGCACCCAGCCACCCAAGACCGGGACGTCCAGGCTGGCCCAGCTCTGCTCTGGCTGGAGCCGTCTGGCCTCCGTTAATGTACCGCTACTGCTTAACTCGGCCAGCGGCCCTCACTCCTCTGTCTCACTGCGGGGCTGCGGGGCCGGAACTCAGCGGAGGACGAAGTGAGACCCACTTATACATGAAACACTTTGGAAAGCTTTGGGATGAAAAGCATCACGCAAACATCATTATTTTTGAGCACTAATAAAAGACATGTCTCCTGTAGAACGATGTATGCACCGTCCCCGGCTCTCCTCACTTGAGTGGGTTCATGGAGGGAGCCGAGTGGCTGGAGACCTCCCCCAATTCCACACGGTCCCCTGTCCCTCTGGCAAAGAGCTGTGGGCCAGTGGGGGAGCGGTGATGACATCACACTCCAAAGCCAGTTCAGAGCACATGTGCTCTCCGAGGACTGAGGACCCAGCCCTGGGGCAGAACCCAGCCTTCAGCGCCGGCTGCCAACACAACCCCCCCCACCATGCTTCTAGCCTCCCCCTCTCACACCAAGCCTGGGCTGCCTGCAAGGACAGACCGACCAGTTTCTCATCACATAATAAGTAACAGAGCTTAGTCATTCACTCTTAGTCAGTCAGTGACAGAGCCCAATCGATAAGTCAGCAAAGCCTGAGATTCACATTGGTCTGCTGGGGAATTTATTTTCATCTGTGTGCAGAACGGCAGAGTATTTCCTGGTGGCTGACTGCAGTGGGGAATTTCAGGTTCCTGTGCTCATGTGTGCACCTGGCACAGTCTGCCTCCCACCTGCCACTGATGGGCACTTGTTTGATGGACAGATCCCTCCCCCTGGAGGAACAGGGCTGGTCTCCCCAGTTCGTTTCTCCTAGCCTCCTCTCCTCCCCACGGTCTCCCTTCTCCCTGCTCACAGGACGTGGGGCGAGACAGACAGACTGATGGCCAGCGCGAACAGTCATTTCACTTCTGCAAACACACATGACCGAGTAGGAAACAAAGCTTGAACAGCCCTGCACCTCAGGTCTGTAGTAAAGTGATACAGGAATGTATAAATTACACGTAATAGTCCACCATTGTTCCACACCCGCCTCCGTGTCCTTCTTTGCTTTGTGCGAAGATACAACGAGGTCCCTGTCAGATCTCGGGTGAGTAGGGACTCTTGAAGTCCATATCCAGCAGGAGCCCTTGTACCAGTCTGACTGTCGAGGTGACCACAGAAACACACCCACCGCACACCCACGCCGCCCGGAACACCACTGCTGAACCCCAGTCTGTGCGTGTGTTCCGCACAACGTGTCGGTTTTAACTGACCTTCTCTTTACAGGAATAAATTGTTTCACTTGGCTGTTTCAGCCTATCGCCAGTCCCCCGGAAGCGGGGCTGCTGTGTATTTTAATGGCACCCAGAGAAGCGCTACTGCTCCTGACCTTGGTGCGGACAAGCGGAGGGATACAGGACGCGCACAGTTCAGCTCGCAGTCCGGGAAAACCGCAGCGCTGGAAACTAACCTGCGCTCCCCTAAACAAAAAAAAATGAATAACAGTAAGAAGTGCTGAGCAATCGATAACTTGGAACGCGTTACTCTAGTCTCCATGACTAACAGGTAATGCGACGCCAGGAAATCTGTGCTAAATCACTGACTGACTGTTGCCCGTGGTAACCGTGGCCTCGCCCGGTGCGGACAGACAGGTGCCCGGACGCGTCACATCTCAGCAGAGAACATCTCCGTATGCAGTCCTAGAGCATTAGCGCTTGAATAAAACATTATCAGACCTGCACGGGAGTGGCTCTTGGTCACAGCTAAGATATTTATTAGCCATAAACTGCCGTCCCTTCCTTACACGAGAAGCTGCTGCAGTATCCCACTCGGAAAGCGCTGTGCACCCCGCTGTCTGTAGGTCCGACTGCGCTCCAGGCGGTTGTTCTGAAGCGTCCCGTCTCTCGTTATGTAATCTGTGCATTCAGCCTCACCTGGATAAAACTCAAAACTTTCAACATCCACACAACAACCCATACTAATCAAGATGGAGGCCGTGTGCGGGCTGGGGGCGACACCAGTAAAAGCCTTTTTAAAGCCGAATCGCGGTCGTGAACAAGATCTGGGGCTGGTGTACACGTGGCCGGAGGAAACCTGTGCGCTTCGCCCCTGCGGCCGGGGGGGCTAGCGGAGCTCTCCGGGCTCCCAGCGCCAGGTGGGGTGCGAGCAGACTCCGGGGAGGATCATACCATCGCACCTCCGACACCGTTTCCACCTCCCCGCCGCAGTTCATGTATGCGTTCACAAAACTATGGTTAAAGAACAGAAGTCTGGCGTGTATCGCATAGTACCTTGCGTCAAAAGGAAAACAAATGCTACAAGAAGCCCCGTATCGTGACTCAGCTCCACTGCTGCTTGTAGAAACATCACCTCTCTTAACCGATCTACCCCACTCTATGCCGGCCACCAGAACCCCCCCGTGGCACCGCGGGCCGCTTACCTTTCTCATAGTCCAGCCTTCATCCAGCAGTAACTTCGCAGCCACTACGCCGGCAACAGCCCCATTGAAGCTCACGGGTTCTCGTAGATTCGATACAAAACAGCACCAAATCTGCAGAAACTGCCCTACAGTCCAGCGGCGGAAAAAAGACGGACCTTCTTTCCCGAGGCCCCGTTTCCTCGATTGATGTTTGCGAGCGGTAACGCGTTATGCGCTTATTTCTAACAAGCTCGCCGTCCGATAAAAGTTGCTTGTCTTGCGATGTCAGTGCGAACGCCAGACGCGCATCCCCGCAGCGGAGGACGGCTCCACACGGCCGCGAGGGAGGGACGGGTGCGCGCAGACTGCGAACTTCGCCGAATCAGCCTTTAACCCGCTCGTCCCCGGCGCGCAGCGAGCTGCACTCTGTGGTCTGCGAGTCCTGCTTACCAGCAAGAAAATACTGTATCACTGCACGATTCCTTGAGGGTTTTGGCCAGGGCAGTGGTTTTGGTATCTGTCTGAAGCGGCAGGCAGGCTCCCGGCGCAGGAGTCTTTGGGAAGTGGGACATGACCCATTTTCAATCCTCTCACTTCCCGCTCCCCTGGGAAATTAGCATGGCTTTGGCTACGAACACACACCCTCTTCCCTTGAGCGAACCGTAACCCCTCCACAAATAAACACAGACACTAAAATAGGGCTTCAGTAAAAGCGAAAGGGATGAAACGAGATGTGATTCAGTGCTTGAGGAACAAAAACAGAATTAAACTACACATCTTGTGTAACTCTTGGTTAATAGATACTTGTAGATACTATTGCAACACAATTGTTTTAATGGCACAAAACACAACTGTCTTTTATTGTTTAAACTGTTTTGCACCAGCTGAATGAATGCTCAGCAAGACTTAAAGATCATTAATGATTAACTTAACCCTGGTTAACAGGCAGAGCACAGACACACAGCTGAATGAGAGGAAATACAGATATGCCATAAGGGTATATGCAGTGCATTGCAGCAAACGCAATGCACAATTCAAACAGTGAAGGTAACAGGCATTAAGGAGGCAGCTGTGCTGAATCATATGTTCTTATATTGTCAATTGTATTTTAATAGGCTTTTGCAGTTTGGATTCAAATGCTTTAATTATCTGGGAAAGCTATGTTTCAAGGTTTTCTAGAAAATGGAAACATAGATCATTTACATAGACAGAAGCAACACAAAGATGAGTCATTCCTCATCTATCACAGATTGATACCACATCAGAAGAGCACGGGATGTGGTGGCGTTGTTCTGCTCTGTGATTCCATACTGTATATTTTCAGTTCTTTCTGTTCCTGCTGGGGGCTGGTTCAGAGGACAGGGAAGCTCTGACCACCTCTCCTCCCGCAAGGGTCCGGCTGGGAAACGGCCACAACACTGTCTCCCAGCTGAGAGGGGTGACTCAAGGTCGACTCCTCCTGGACGCCCCATGGTCAGAGCGGCCGGACATGTGCTGCAGCAGCACAGATATGGGGGAAAGGGGAGTGTCGGCATGTTTAAACAATGATTTAAAAAAAAACAGATGGGCAAAATCCCAATAATAAAAATTGCCGTCTCATCAAAATCCACGAATGTATGGTTTCTGCTGCATCAGTGTTATTTCGATAAGCTGGAGCTCTGCTGGTCACATGATGACAAGTCAAAAAAGTTAAAATGTTGTGCTTCTCTGTGTGTGACATAACTAAAGTGACAAAAGATGGGGTCCCTGTTCCTCTTCCCTTCAGACGTTTTACAACCTTTTCTGGAAAGACATTACACTGTGAGTTGTCGCAAAATGGCATGAAGGAGAGACCCAGTTTCCCACCAATCATAGCCAGAGTGTCTGAAGTCCCTTCCTTTGCTCCCGCCAATACAATATTGATCAAAACAGGTTATTGAACTGTACTTACAGTAAAGTAAGGGGTGCTGAAACACATCCCCAAAGAACTGAAAGTGTACTGTACCAGGGTAACACTATAGGTTTGTTTAAAATCAAATAATCAAATACACACAGAACAAAGGTTCCCCACATACACGCAGAAGCAGGTCTGAAATGTGAACAAACCGGATGCCAGCAAACAGAAAGTGTAAGTAAAGTGTAAAGTGTAAAGGATTTCGGTTATCATACACTGTGCTGTGTGGCTTTTTTTTTTACAAAGAGCAATGCAGTAAAGTGTGAGACAACCAAAACCTTCCTCAGATGGACAAGACCGATCTTTTTCTACCTTGAGTCAGGACCAAAGAGTTTAGGTCTCTCATCTTGTCAGTATTTCCATGTGGATGCTGAGGTTCAATACTGTCAGCTCATAGAGAAAGCATGTTGTAGAGATAGTTCAAGTAGATGGCCGCATCAGCATGTGCAGGCTGCAAAGGAACAAGTACAGGTTCATTCCCTGCTGAAAAGAGAAGAAAAGAAACACAACATTTCTGCTGTGGAGCCTTCTTCAGGTGACTTCTGATGTCTTCTGTGGTTATATCTGAAGAAGACTCCACAGCCCAAACATTGTGTATTCTTTCATATCTTTTCAGCATGGAATGAACCTTTAATTGTTCCTATGTTCTAGAGATTATTGCTTACCTAAAAAATTGACAGCATTTTGTGACAGAATGCAGTTTGCATGACTACCCTGTGTTCCCTTTGATCAATGCTTCTGGAGAATAACAGGGACAGGCATGTCATTTATAAAGCTGTTGGAGAATGGGGTATGAGCACTAGTACACTGTATCAGAAACCTCATTCACAGATTTAACATTTTAAACTATACTCATTGCCAACAATCTAAGTTTACTGAACAGCCTAGTAAGTGGAAGGCAATTAAATAAATCTTAAATCGCAATGCAGAATACTAAAACTTAAGTCTGTAAAATGTACATGGTTTCAGGGCACTATGAGATAGATGAAAACAAACGTAGACATTATGTTCAAATGCTGTAACAGGAAGGCATACCTTTTGCTGTCTTGTGATTGCAGTGGAGGTATGAGGGCTGGAGACCAGCAAGGCACGTTATTCCCGACAGGCAGGTTGTGCTTGTGTGCAGCTCTCCATGTGTGACAGAATGACAGCTGGTTAGGTGTGTGTAGTGAAAACAGGCCGGGCCCAGGCTACCATGGGGGCTGCATTACCAACAGAGAAGGAAGAAGAGGCTCTAGCACGTGCAGACCGAAACATACAGTAGAATTGTCTCGTTTTCCTGTTGCAAAAACACTTTCATGCCCTTGTGTGATTATCAGCCTTCTATGACATCCACATCAGTTCCTGCTTTATTGCTCAAGGACAAACAGGCAGATACAGCCAGAAACGGATTGTGTCTGCTCCATTATTTTATTATTATATTGTACCCATATAATCTAATACTGTAGATCTAATAATCTAATAAGTAATTCACATTATATGGCTGGAATCGGTATTCTATTATCCTTATAGATTTGTGAACAAAACATGAGTGTTTCCCACCCATTCACATCATCTGGGCCCTGGACAGTAGTGAGTGGTGAGCCCAGCCCTGCAACATCTCCTTTGGTGGTGACAGAAACCTGAGCACCATCCCTGCCCTGCTGCTCTGCTGAACTCACAATCCAACAGCCAGGAGCCATGCAGGCAAGTAAGAAAGAACCCCAGACAAAGAAGGCTGTCAGTGAATGAGCACAAATAACATCAAGAAGGCACAACGCACACACAAATGCGGTTACATAAAGATGAGGAACAATGGGACAAAATGGAAAAGCTCAATCAGAACAGTAAGGCATCTGTCTGGATGATGGCTGGCAGGTGCTCACAGACAGGTGCCTCACAGCTCTGCAGCCACAGCTCACTGCCTGGTCCACACTGTGATACATGAACAGCAGCCTCGGAGAAGAGCCAGCTTCCAGCTCCCCACCCCAGCTGAGAAACACAGCTTCCCGAAAGTCAGTGACCACTTCACTGCAGCTCATAAACTTTTCATGATGCTTTTAGTATGAGGAAAGGGCAAAGCTCCTTGACTGCCAAACAAAGAAGTCTGCACACACAAGCACGAACTAGAAAAGGACTAAGAGAACCGTGAGATTGTTTATAGTCAGGCTGATATACAACATGGTGTTATAAATTAGTTAATCATTTTTATAAACCATTTAAACATCTATTTTATGAAAGAATTAGGAAAATATACAATATCCACATATGAGATTCATAGTACAGATGTCCTTAGGAAGACAATGTGTGTCAGGTGGTGGGAATCACAGTGTGGTTAGAGGTGAATAAAAGTCAGGAGTGGCCTCTCACAGAGCTGACGTCAGACCAGCAGACCGCCATGCTCAGGGCACAGCATACTGACAGGACAACTTCGCAACCCTGATATCCAGTAGCTGTTAGATTAGTTTCTAGCTTGTATAAATCTTTTTTTTTTTAACTCAGATCCAGCTGTGGAAAGAAAATCCAGAATCCTTGCTCAGTATTTTGGAAGACAACAGTAACCTGAGTGCACAGGTTTGAGAGTCGGCTCCTCACACTGGCCCTATACTCGCCCGCTGACTTCGTGTCTCAAACTCGTCAGCCCCGTAAAGAGAACAGGTCACTGGGGGAACATCGCTGATGTGAGAATAGAGCAACTAACAGAAGCCCGATGAAACAAGTTGAGAATTTTTAATTAGAAACATACAGTTTAGCTGCAAACAAGATGTGATTAGGTACTGGGCTTCCCACAATAATGGCGATAATAGTTTCCCAGAAAGTCGGGATCACACATTAACTCCTGGATCAGAGCTGTTCTTTGGTTTTCTTCACGTCCTCACACAGATCAAAGAGGGACTCCACCATGGCAGCCAGCAGCCCGTAGACCTGGGAGGGAGAGGAGGGGGCTGTGAAGGAGCACACTGCACACACAGGCTGTGCAATATGATCCTCTTTTAAAAAGGGACGAATAGAGGTTAATCCCGCATTGAAAAGAAGAAAGGCAGAATGTAAATACACATTTCAGCCATAGCACCTTCTTCTTTCTTTCCTTAGTTCATAATGAAGGGGTACACTTGCCTTCGCAGTCTTTACATTGTGACAGTGTGTAGTGGGAGGCGTCCAGGTTGAGGGGAGGGAAGCACCAGTGTGAGGTTAGCAGGGACCACAAATAACACAAAAAGAACAAACAAATACCCAATAAGACAAAAAGACAGTGTGCCGCTGTGCCTTGCGGCCTCCAGGCTGGGCTGACGCTGTTTAACGGGGTCCAGTCTGGTGAGCAGGGGGCGTAAAGCAAGAACAAAACGAGAACTTTGTAAGTGAAAAAGGTGTGTGTGTTTGCCTGCCCCAGTGAAAGTGCATGATGGGACAGGCAAAAAAGAAAAAGAACACCTTACACGGGTGCAATCCTCTCTGGGACTGCCCCTGTCAAACTCCCCCCTTCCGGGGGGTGTCCAGTGTGCCTTTATAGGACCCGCCCAGCTGGGACTAGAAAGGTGAGGCGTCGCCCTTCCACCAGGGCTGTGCTCCACACTGGGCACTCCCCCCGTACAGCCACAACATGCTTTGGGTTTCACCGGCCAGCCAGGTACAATGGGATTTTATCTACAATGAAATATTTTGGTACAATGTACATAAAGCCAAACAAAGGTCTGGTTTGTGTCAAAGGCTCATAAACACATTCCTTTTGTCCTAATCAACCTTTCACAGATTCAAGTAAAAGAACTACAAACATATCAACCCAAAGATATTTCCTTTCTTCTCTTTTCAGCATGGAATAAACCTTTACTTGTTCCTTTGCAGCCTACGCATGCTGGCACAGCTCCCTACTTGAAGGAAGCTCCCTACTCCTGACAGCTACTCTCTATGGGGTGGAGCGGTTGTACTGTGGCTCAGGATCTGCACCAGTGGCTGGAAGGTTGCCGACTCAAATCCCACAGCCAGAAGAGGAATCCTACTACGTTGGGCCCCTGAGCAAGGCCCTTAACCAATGGCACAATGGCTGACCCTGCTCTCTGACCCCAAACTTCTTTCCCTGTCTGTGTGTCTGTGTCTCATGGAGAGCGAGCTGGGGTATGCGAAAAGACGAATTCCTAATGCAAGAAATTGTATATGGCTAATAAAGTGATCTTATCTCTTGAAGTACAAAAATATTGTGTTAATGTTTTTACATACTAATGTGTAGTCTAGCTTGCAAAGGAACAAGTAATAGGTTTATTCCATGCTGAAAAGAGAAGAAAGAAAACACAACATTTCGGATGTGGAGCCTTCTTCAGGTTTAATTCTTTAACCTTGAAAACTATTCTAGTTTATAGGTCTTGTGGCCCTAGAAAAGGTTATTTCAGCACTATAAAGTTCCCAAGTAAAGAATAGGCCTGTTCAGAGCTCAGTATCAATGGAAGATACTGAATGGTACTCTGTTGCAGACAGCCTCTGGAAGTAGAACGGAGGGCACAGAACAGGTGCCCAATTTTTGTCTTATTTTACAGGTGCGGATTATGAATGTACTCTGGCACAATTTTGCAAGACTTGACAGCAGATGATAAAGGCCAGATCAAGTAGGAAGTACATGCCCTGACTGCTAGCAAACCAGCCCCCCACAGCTTAAAACATGGACTCTATGCAGGGCCTTAAATTTTCTTTTGAAGGAGAATCACATCACTCTCTGAATAAAGAATAAAGTTCAAGACCGCTGTGTAATCCAAAAATACAACAGTTTTCTGAAGGATGTTGGGCGCTGAGTACAGTGACCATTCACTCTCCACTTTCGCCATTATCTGTGAGCCTGCACAGTGAGGTCCTTTAGACTCTGAGGAAGAGGCTGGGTTAAGGCTGGCTGCAGTGACACAGGAGAGAGATGCTCAAGAGATTCTGGGGAAAGCAGGTCAGCCAGCAGAGTTTCTGGGACAGGATGCAGCTTCAGGAGTTATTTTTAAAAGGGGAATCTGTGTTGCTGACATGCTTCTCTCTTCTCTCTCAGTTTAAGTGAACCTTTTAACTCATCACAAAATGCAAACACAACTTCAGTACAGGGTAGGCTCTAAATGTGCATTTCAGATACTTTGTAAAAAGAGTTAGTAATTATTATTTACAGAAATAAAACAACACTTTTGACTAATTGTGTGTTTTGAAATAGGGGTAAGGGCTGCCCCACCCCCACATGGAGTGCAGCTGACTGACTACTGGATGGGTGTGAAAATACAGGTGCATTGCTGTGACTGCACTGTTATTGAGTCCGTCATGATGATTCAAGTGACACTTGTAATTCTCTACATAAAAGTCTCTGAACACCACAACAGACCTCGCGTCATGCCTTCGAACACTGCCTGGGCTTGGGACACCGTCACAGATTTCAACCTGTGCAGGAAAGTGATAAAGGCTGTAGGCACCAATAATGGAAAGAAGCTACCCTTTTAAAATCTATAGATGCCCACCCCACACACTGTCTTGCTTACAGTAGTCTTTCAGATCTCTGTAATAAATTATGAGCCCTGACTCATACGCGGCCTTCAGGGCTGGTGCTGCATTGCGATCAGCGAACCCTCATTGTGATGCAATGTGATTCACACAGTGTAGAGCTGCCGAGCGAAGGCATTGGCAGCCCACCTCTCTCAAATCCCTCAGCAATTCACTGCGTTTCTAACAACGAGCTGTGTGACTACAGGCAAGCAGCGGGTTGCAGTGTGGATGGACCGTTCCTGAAGAGTCTTAAACAAGCTCACAGCGGTGCTCCTTATGCGGGCCTTCTTACTATGTTCCTTTCCTGCTTATAAAGATCACGCAGATCAAACAGGAGACTTACCTAGACGGGTTCCAAGGTTGCTCCCTGTGGCGTTAACTACATCATCAAGGCCACCAGAGGCAACTCATGAACCATTAAAATAATCAGCTAATACTCAGAATTCACAGTTTTCACTATAAAGAAATGATATTAAGGTGTATTTGATTTATGTTATCCTAAGGCATGGGAGCAGCTTTTCAAAGCAGTCATATTAGTGTAGAAGGCATGTTATTGAGAGCTGTTTTCCAGGACGAAGGGCTTGAAGGTGTGGAGCCTGACCTGTCCATGGAGCTGCCGGAGGTATTTCTCCTGCAGCGCAGGGTCCACCTGCTCCTGCTGACACTCTGGGTGCACACTGTCCAGGCTTTCTGCCGAGGAAACCTGCTCCTTTCCGAATCCCAGCGCAGGTTTCCAAGCCTTCCTGTCATCCCGACCCTTCCCTTTCTTACTGGGAGGGCGGTCCTGAAGAAACAGACACAGGCCACAGTCAAACGCTCTCACCACCTGCCAGAGCACATTCTAGAGCTATGAGTCAGTTATTAATAATTTTAATCCTTCAATTTTGCATTTATATGGTACGAAAACATTTCCTAAGTATGCATTCATTGTGTGTTACTATTTTGATTTGATTATTTATGTGGAATAAACAGGCCTTTCACAATGAGCCTTGTTGATCTCCCTAACAAAGACAGTCATGTCATCACAAAGGGAATGGCAGGGCCAGGCAGTGACATCACTGCACAGGGGCACAAGGAAGAGGGGCTGGGGGGGGTTGCTCCTGTTGTAAAGTAGGATTAATCGCAAGCTTGCAGACTCTTCTTGGAAATCGATAACTATATTAGTTCTGTGTGAAAGTAAATGTATTTGTTCAGTGCAATATCATTCTCAAAATGCAGTGATTTTCATCTATCAAAAAGCAGCAACTCTTTCTCAGCAAGAGCATTATGCCAAAAAGGCAGATATGACAGAAAAATAACAGATGACCATCTTCTGAGGAGATGCTGCTGCGCTGCAGGCTACTGCCCCCTGGTGTTTCCTTGACGTCAGTGCAACCAGGCCTCACCTCTACTGGCTTGTCCTTCCCTGCCTGCTTCCCTGGTCCTTTCTTCTCCTCCTTCTCTTTCCCGCTGCCTCCTTTCTTTTCCTCCTTGGACACCATTCCTTTCCTGTCCGCTTTGTCATCCTTCTTCCCTTTCCCCCCTCGGCTGGATTCCACTGAGAGTGTAGAATGAGAAAAAACAAAATCCGTTTACATTCAAAACAGTAGTTTCTGAAAAAAATATAAATATGGAATATAAACTAAAAGACAAATTGTTGCTTAATAAATTATCTGGAGACAGCAAGGCACAGTGCCATCAGGACTCACTCACAGCCCTGACACAACAGCTCGGTTTTCTCCCACACAGTGCTGGGGAGAGCGAGAGCTCCTTCAGGACACTCAGAGCTTGTACGCTTATCAGCTGATCAGCTGGAATCTTTCACCTGAACCATTAAGAGCTCTGCAGCACCCCTGAAAACCCTGGACGTTTGCAACGATGTTTCTTTGCCCAGAGTTTCAAGATCATACCCCTGCATAACCTTCTGCAACAGGCCCTTTCAGACCCACAAGGTTCATCTTGCTGATAGAATGTATCTGTGTCTCTCCATTTTGTATTTGATATTTTCACAATTACATAAACCTCTACAACAACATTTTTTGTTTTAAAGTATCAGGTCTCTGCACCAGGTAATGCGTCCCATCTCTCCTCTGCAGACCAGCACAGCGGTAGTGCTCTGCACAACAGGCTCTTGAGGGCAGGTGGGCAACTCACAGGCTTCGTCCTGCAGCAGGTCACCCCAGGTGTCTCTCTCGGGCATGCCCAGCACCTGCCTGAGCAGTGTGGCCTGGCAGACCAGCTCGTCCGCTGCCTCCCGCCACAGCTGCAGCCTGGAACAGAGCAGCAACACAGAGCTACTACCACATGCAGGCTGGGCACCTGGCCCTCTGTCTCTCCCCAGTGACAGATGTAGCCTTGAACTATGACTTTAACACACCTGACTGATGAAAAGCTTTGCTGGGTGAAATGGGCAATATCAAAAGCTGCACAGTTCTTCTATCTCACACTCCCTAGAGCCTCTCTCCCACAGTCACGCCATTGGTCTCACCCCCCTCCTTGTCACTGACCCTATCAGGTGAAGCAGGTCGGGCTGTGAGTGTGGCTGGGGCTGACTGAGCTCCAGGACCAGGCTGTTGAGCTGGGAGAGTGCTGCTTCTTGCTGTTCTTCCTCCTCTCCCTTTGGCATTGACAGTAGAGCCTGCAGAAGGATATCCACAGAAACACAACCTGATGATTTCAACACAGTGGATGATACTCTAGTTCATCTCTTTTAGCAACGACTTTGTTTTTCTCTAGGTTAAGCATTAAAATACTGGATAATAACACTAACAATAATTTTAAAATCTCTGAAACACCCAAAAAGTAAATATAGTATTAATTCTCTCATACTTTAAGATATTTTGTACCTGAAAGCTAAGGCTGTCTAGGTTTGGAATAAAACCTATTACCGGTTTAACTAATGTGGTTTATGGGATCTGAAATTCATTAAAAACTCATGATGTTGACAACAGACAGCGCAAGAGTCTTTATATTTCACAGATTTGCCGCCCTTTTTAACAAGCAAACAGCTCTGGGAGGCTGACCCAGTGCGAGCTCTTTACATTTCCAAACATTCTACTAATTGGGCCCCAAGTGAGAATGTGGAATTAAACGACACCAATTATGCCATTTCATAGCTAATCATCACCCAGTGTGTTTAATTACGAATGACAGAGGACTCCTGTGGCAGCTGTTACTACAGTCTCCTCGAAGACTTCTCACTCTAACGCACGTTTGTTTTTTCTATCTTTCTTTTTCAGAGTGGAATAAACCTGGCTCCTGTGCAGGTACAGAAGGCAGGCTTGCTGTAGTGTGCTGCTATATGTATTCTTTGAAACTGCACCAGAGGGCATTTATAGTACAGTATACTAGTGGGTGACTATACTGTGTCAGGAATCTGGAACAGTCAGTGAGACTTACAGTGTTTGGAAGATGGCTGTTGTAGTGTTTAGCTTGTATTGTGTGAGGGAGTGAGAAGGGGGAGACCCCAGACTGACCTGTCGAAAATGGGGGATGGAGAGGTCCCAGTCCTGGCATGCCTTGGGGTTCTCCATGCCACCAGCGTGCAGGCTCTCTGCACCCACACTCTGCTCCCACAGATGCCTCAGCTTCTGCACAGCCCCATGCACATACTGCAGCTTCAGGAAATGAATAATAAAAACAACTAAATAATTCCATGACATGATGTACAATAGGACACTAAGCAGCTCCTTTAGATCATATTTGTGCTAGTCATTGCATTCAAACACAGTCTCCCAATCTGCAACAGGGTGAGCTGTGTGTGTAAGAGTTATAGAAGACTCCTAATGTGCTAATAACAAACTACCTTCCAGATATAAAATGTTCATGTCACTCAATAAGACTGGAAAGTTTTAAAATTACTTCGGAACAGCAAATAAACTTCAGCACTTGTAAGACTGTACAAACATTTCTACAGAAGTAGAAATCGCAGTAAAACTGCAGTTCTCTTTGGCCACTGAAAACCCAAAAACAGTAGTTCCCCAGTGCAACACCTCCCAAAGTATTCCTTTACAGGAATCATACACACCTCATTACAGGAGTCATGTCCTGATGTTGATAATGGATATTGCAATGATCCACACTGCTGGAATTGATAGTAACACATACTGTACCTGCCCAAAACGCACTAGAGTGCTGATTGGGGAGCCCTGTCCTCCAGTACAGTCGTGACCCGCTCTGTTTATTCTCCACGTACAGGGATAAGGCTTGTGCTGTACCTGTGGGTTATGCTGGCAGAATCTCTCCTCCTCTGTGATGTAGGTCTCCACTGGAGAGCAGGGACGATCGGGGGTCCGCACCCCCTGCAGAAGCTCGTTCAGGATCTGCCTAGCCACTGTCTCTGCCTCTCGGGCCTCCAGCTCTCTCTGGGACACACAGAGGGGTTTAGGTAACACAGGCTCCAGGCCTTTAGTGATGTGGCATTGCACACACACACACACAGACAGACAGCTTTCAGAGCCCTTTGCTACAGAACCCCAGGTGCCTCTCGTACTCCCTTACCTGCAGAGACTCTCTGACCTCAGCTGTCTTGTCCTCATGCAGGGCGATGCCCCTCAGTGTGACCTGCAGGGCCGCACCCCCAAGGAGTACAGGGTGTGTCTTCAGGGCCCATGTCTCGCTGAAGATTCCTGGGCGCACGGACTTGAAAGTGAAGAGGATCCGCTGAGTGTCCCCTGGCAGGATTACCCCTGAGTCACATAAAGAACATCACCAGTTGACCCTGATTGAGGAAAGGGCATATTGCCGAGACCAGGATCACAAGTCCCAGTCCTGGAAAGTCACAGAGTCTTCTGATTTCAATTTTAACATCACTTTATTAACCCTATACAATTTCTTGCATTAGGAATTTGACTTTTCGCATACCCCAGCGTGCTCTCCATGAGACACACAGACAGGGAGAGAGCCTGGGGTCAGAGCGCAGGTTCAGCCATTGTACAGCGCCCCTGGAGCAGTTGGGGTTAAGGGCCTTGCTCAGGGGCCCAACGGAGTAGGATTCCTCTGCGGGATTTGAACCGGCAACCTTCCAGCCACAGGCGCAGATCCTTAGCCACAGAGCCACCACTCCGCCCCAATTTCAAGGCACTTAATAATTCAACCAACTATTGAATTTATGAGTTAAAGTTTAAAATGAACGCATAGTCTCTGACAGGAGACATTTATAATACCTGAAGGACTGAGACTTCAAGGAACAGGGTTGAGTCAAAGACTTTGGACTTTTGAGTGAGTAGTAACACATTTTATATCCTCTATTCTTCCAATTTTAGTTGGAAGTTCAGTTCCACGTTCTGACAATGTACCCAAAATTCAAGTGTGTGTTTTAAGGCTTCATTCATAAAACATAGAGCACCATGCTGTTAAGAACACAAAACAATAGAGAAGGAAAACATCACATTGTCATATGACAAAATTATTTCAGGTGGGTAGTGTGTCACCATGCGGAGGCTGCAAAGGAACGGGTAAAGGTTTATTCCAGCTGAAATGAGAAGAAAGGAAACACGTTTCGTCTGTAGAGCCTTCCACAGCCGAATCGTTATATTACAAAATTATGTTTAGAGTTCTTAAGTTAAGTTAAGTGTTTAAGTGCATCTTCTACATTTCTTCACCTTAGGAATTTATTTTTACTTCATCAAAAAAATCTGTTAAGTGATGAATGGTAGAAAATGCCATGTGACTACACCTGTACAGCAAGCAATCAGATACACATTGTGTACAGCAGCATCTGTCAGGTGTGCTGTGCGTACTAAAGCAGTATATTGTGTGATATGTGTCATTGTCAGCGAGTGGCATTTCCTGGGTGATACAGCCAACCTTCACTGGTGTTGAAGTAAAAGTGCTGACTGCTTCTGTCAGGCTGGGCTGGGCTGAAGCTGCGAGGTGGCGGGAGATGCTGCCAGCTGTAGTAGACAGCAGTGCTGCCATCGTTGCTCAGCTCCAGGTGGGACACAGCCTGGTCCCCAGCCACAGCTTCAAACGTCAGCCGAGCTGCCACGCCCACCTCACCCTGCAGACACAGTGGACAAAGACAGCACCCCTGTCAGGAACAGGCTGAGGGGCCCCCTCTCCATGCAAGACTTAACTTGGCTCTGACAAAGGTTTAACAACTATGACGATGGTTTTCTCTTCCAATGGAACTGGGACATTCTTTTATTACTAAGAAATTCGTCAAATTGTACCCACATGAGAAGCATCACAGCAGTGGAACCATTCTGCTCACAGGCCAGTCTCCCTTCCAGGTCGTAATGAACACAGGGCATCTTCAAAACTTCCCAGTCATCTGGACCTTCCCAGGTCTTTAACTATAAATTACTCCAGGGCTTCATGGAATCCCCTCAATATCCACTCTATGATCTTTAATCCAGACCTTCATTCTGCTATTGCAATTGTTGGCCTCAAGGAGCAGACTGAGAGATGAGTTTTTGCAAATGTGAAAGGTTGATTAACTTTTTGAAGAAAATGTACCTAGATCCATTGTGGAACTCAGAACTGAATATGGCCTGATTTTCAAAATATCTTCAAACAGACCACTTTCAAAATATTCTTATAAAAAATAAGCAATTCAGTTTCAGATATCCACAATTAAAAGGTTGCTAATAACCGCAAGATCCATATATAGAAAGTCTCTGAATCCTGTTGTGTCCCACTGTATTCTGTCCAGTTGCGATACCTTCTCACTTGATTTTTTAGGGACTATTTGGCAGAAAGATTTGGGTCACAAAATTGATGGTGAACTTTAGTGTAGGATAGGTTAGGATATTCCCTTGTCTGTCCAGCCAGAGATGTAATTCCAACCTGGACTCTTTCATCCATGTTTAGGGAATGCAACAAAATCTTGGAAAGATTTGGAAATCTGCACACTGAGTTGCCTGAAGGTCTTGGTACACCTTTCATTCTCTCACCAACAGAGAGAATCGTTTTTGGAGCTATTGCAGTGTTGGCATTGGTCCCAGAAAGTGTTAGTCATAGTTAGTTATTTGGCTAAGAAATGTTTCTCCCACTATATGGTGGAATTCTGAGGCAACGCCAACTGTGAAGATGTGGGATAACAAAGTGTTAGAATTTATGGATCTTTAAAAAGTTACATAAGAACTTCAAAAGAAATGTTGAAATGTTATAAAACTACTTAGGATATTGAGACAAGCCTTAGACAATGGTAATGCTCTTGAACATCGAAAAACCAAGTTTTACTAAGATCAATGCCACAAGTATCTATTTAAAACCACAATTAATTAATTGGGCTTCAACCTAAGCCATCCAATTCAGGGTCTCAAGGGTACCAGAACCTTTCCTGGCAAGCAACCGGGGCAGGGCAGGATATGCCCTGGACAGGACACCAGCCCATCACAGGGCAGACACACAGACATGCACACACTCACACCGAGGATCAGTTTTCCCTGAAGCCAATAAACCTACCAGTATGTTTTTGGACTATGAGAGGAAGCCTGAACACCCAGAGGAAACCCATGTGAACAAGGGGTGAACTCCAGGCAGACAGCACCCCAGGTCTGGAATTGATCCCAGGGCCCATTCACTGCAAGGCAGCACTGTGCCTCTTTGCTGCCAGGTATGCATAGTATGTGCTGTATTCATCTATATAGTTGTAAAAATGATTCGAGTAATAAAAACAAGCTTTGCAATACAGTACCTTGTCAATAACAACTTACAGTACCAAATAGGATCAATGAATGGCTACACAGTTGCACGTTAACATCATGCTTACCTTAAACAATACTGCCTGTCCTTGGTGGTCACTCAGGAGTAGTTCCTGAAAAAGCTGGCTGAACGTACCTCGTGTGAGGAGGAGCTGTTGATCCAGCGAGCAGGCTGGCCGCAGAATCGAAGAGAGGGTATCAGGAGGGCCTCCATCATCACATCAGGGTAGTCAGCCAAGGGGTCTCTAGTACAAGAACAATAGGAATCTGCATCTCCACTCTGAATTTCTCTCTTACTTTCTAATTCAACACCTACAGTGTTACTAGTCAGATGCAATGCAAGAGATAGAGATTGTTCTTGTAGGTGTAGGTTACAGACATTAAATAAGCGACCCTTTGAGAGGGATCCTGCTCACTGGTTTTCCTGTTCGTCAGCCCAGGTCTCGCGGTCCTCCTCCTGGGAGCAGCTCTCTGCGCTGATGGAGGTGAACGGATGCCCTTTCCCAGTGACCTCCAGCCCATCTATCTCCTGTGTACAGAGAGGAAAACAGTGAAGAGAGGTATGGGAATGGGGAAAGGGAGAGAGAAACCAGAGCGGAAGATTGACAAGAACAACCAAGCACTCTAAGGTAAGTGTTATTGTAGCAGGAGTTCAAAACATAGTTGCTGCAGTAGTAGTATAGGCAATGGTAGTAGTAGTGGTAGTAGTAGGAACAAGTTAAGTTTTATTCCATGCTAAAAAGAGAAGAAAGGAAGCACAATATTTTGGCTGTGGAGCCTTCTTCGGGTGTGAGGTAGTAGTATTAGCAGTTGTAGCAGCAGTAGCAGTAATAGTCGTGGTAGTATTAGTAGTAGTGGTAGTAGTAACTGTAGTAATATTAGCAGTACTGTAGTAGTATTAGCAGTAGCAGTAGCAGTATTAGCAGTGGTAGCAGCAGTAGTAGTATTAGCAGTTGTGGCAGTAGTAGCAGCAGTAGTATTAGCAGTAGCGGTAGTAGTGGTAATAAACACTTTTGTCCCTTAACTGCCACAGCTTACAACAACAAAGTAAACAAAATAAAAAAATAATAGAAACTTAAAAAAACAATGAGTTGAAAATCTGTACTTATTCATGTGAATCATATATATTCCTTATCATGTAAAATATGCAGAATGAACAAAGAAAAAATTACAGAATTAACTATGTATTAAAAGCACAATGAAAATGAACCTGTTAGGAAATGTAACCAATCAGGGGGGTGTTCAATAAGTGGTAAAATATAGATGAAGGAAATTCTAAACAGCACCACTTGCTGTCTAATCTGTGGCGAAAACCTAAAGATGTTTATTATAACCACTTGTTTCTTATCTATTCAACACCAACTTCAAGTAGCAGGTCCATCTCTGTGTAGAGCTGGGCTAAGAGGAAAGTGCAGACTTCTTGCATGAGCAAGATGAGAATGGGCATCCCACACCCACTCTCCTTTTATTGGTTTATCATTTACTAATTACATATCCATGGAGCCAACAATATTTATCTTACAAAGAGTTATGGCACAAGTAAACATGCATCGAAAAGAAAATCATTATGAGCGGCACTTCCAATCGATCCATATTCTTTACCAATTCATCCATCTAACTACATTACATAGAACAGTACATTGAGATTCACATGCTTCGCTAGAACATCTGTGTCAATGCATGACAGACGTTAATAAAAACAATTAAAACAGATGGTATAAAAAAGAGCACAGAAAGCTGTTTTGTATTACATGATTGTTTGCTAAGGAGCTAAAGTAGCTGTTAGTTTACCATGCTAATTGATTTAAATTATCCCCAAGCTGTTGAGAGCAGGCCTCTGACACACTGTAGTCAGCTCACACATGGCACAGCCTGCTTGGGAGCAGTAGGAACATCTCACACCATCTAATGGAGGCATTGGTAAGCTCTGTGCAGCGAGACGTGTCTAGGCATGGTTTGAGTTTTATTAAACTGAAAGTCTTTTTTTGGTTTCTTATTTAGGATTTTGCACAGTCCTGCTGACAGAGTCTTAATAACAAGAACACTGTGTATGCTGTTTAGCCTCAATGTATAGTTCTGTACAGAACATTCCCAGCACTTAAGAACATAAGGAAACAGGAAAAATTGCAAACTAGAGGAGGCCATTCAGCTAAAAAAATCAGTCCATCAGTAGCTAACTGGTTTAATGATCTCATCAAGCCGTTTCTTAAAAGAAACCAGAATACTGGTTTCATCAACATGACTAGTTGACTTTTATCCACAATCTCTGGGTTTTAGTGTACGTTCATTCTAAAAATTCCACTGGCTTGACTTTGTCAATGCCTTTGAAGATTTTAAATACTTGTACCTTCATAATGTCTGTTCATGACTAAAAAAGAACTAATGACTGCTCCTTCAGCTGGTCAGTGTAGGACAGGCTGGATACGTATCTTATCTTGATGATTCCAGAGCAGCAATTTATTTTCTACAATCTCGTGAACAAAATTGTACAGTTTTCTAAAAGGTACCTTACTAATGCATTATACAATTTTAATCTAACATCTTATTTTTTAAAATTTAATTCTACAGTGCATTCTGCAGCTTTTGCTAAACACATTGATATTCATGACGAATGAAGTAGAGTCCCTGCAGTCACAGGAACAGTTGCATACCGGCTGGTTAAAATCCAGCTCCTGCAGGACATCGCGCAACTCCTGGCGCCGCTCCTGCAGGTACCGACTCTGATCCCAGGCCCGTTGATGCTGGACTGAATCAGCTGGGACAACATTGCCTGAGCAGAACCACACAAAGTCATGAAATATCCCATGAAAGACAGAAACTAGCAACAATATTTCAATACCTGAGTAATTCATATGAAACAACAAATGATTCCAAAATATGTTATGACGTGAATACAGACAAAATTGGTAACATCTGGCTAATGTCAACATTTCCAGCTTCAAAGCAAGGAGGGTGTTTGCTGAGATGTAGTTGTCCCAGATTCTGTGATCAAAGCAATCCTAATGTTTACCATGGTTTACCTTAATTAATTGAGTTCTGGATAATGATTAAGTGTCAATCAAGAGTTCAAGAAGACAGTATAGAATTCACAGGCAGATATAGAGAGTGAACAGAGAGGGTACAGGAAGAGGAAGATATAGAAGCCAATTGTTCCAGATCACCCAGAAAGACCAGATTGGAGCTAAGTGTTTGAACCTTGTTAAGAGAGCTTGCTATTTTGTGGCTTTTCGGGAAATGTAAATTCCTATGTAAAGAATCCCTCTTTTAAATACGGCCTGTGCTGGTTTGTGAGTGCATTTTTAAAATAGGTAGATTGGTTCTAATAATAAATATTTGTTTAATCCAGTGTGCCTGAATTATTACTCTTTTCACCAAAGCTCAGCCAGAGAACAAAGAGCTAATGTGCCTCTAATTATACCAACCGTATGGGTACATTCTTGGCAGAAACCTTTACAAGTTGGGGTTATGTTTGTGTTTTCTTATTGATTTGCCTACTTGGTAATTTCTTGACGTTTTCAATTTTCGTAAATCCCCCATTTGTAACATTATTAAACTAAAGATATTGATTTATGTATCAAAAACATGAAAGTGGTTTAGTTTTGCCTATTTGTAAAACTGCAATGCTTAATACAACATGACTCAGTTCTAAAAGTTTGCAGGCTGAAGTGCTGTATGCTGTGTGCATACTGTATGTTAGTATCTCGCGGTTCTGTGAGGACAGTGTAAGCGCTGCTGCCTCTCAGCTGGTGTGAATACTTTCTCTCTCCTGGTGCTGTGTGCGCGTACCTGTCTCCAAGCGCAGCTGGCAGGACAGCCCGACATGAGTAACAGGCTGAGGATTCCCTCTCTCTGTCTGCGTCAGAGACATTGTGATGCCACTCATCTCATCCCCAATGCGCTGCGGCAAGCTCCAGAACTCACTGCCCACGCGGTTCCCCTGCAGTCAACACAGCACACTCTCACATTGAACCACAGCTCTCACCCAGCACCCCAGACTGCAAACACAGCCTTTAAATACTTTTGACTAGAGTTGTGTCCGACCTGGCCGGGATGCAGTGAAGGGAGGGCACGGCTGATCAGCTCCCGCTGTTCCTGTGTCTGTCTGAATCCGTCTGCCTGGTTCATCACCAGGCACTGCACAGGCCTCTTCAGCAGACCTACAACACAGCAAAGAGGCCAATCATTCCTGGAGGCTTCATGTTGCTAAACTTTCCAGCAGCATTTCTATTGCTCTCTATTTTCCCAGCAACATCCTCCACATGTTTCAGTGTGTCGTGTGAAAGAGCGCATTTGAGCGAATATAGCCAATGTGCTTTCAGTTGTGTCTCCGAATGTGACCCTCCTCAACTACTGCTCAGTAACGATTGATTAGTAACAATCAACCTTCAGGCACAGAGGGACTAACTGCAGTGATCTAAAAATCTATTTTGTGAGGCTGGGTAAAGACAGAGACATCCATAAATCACAGGTTGTTGCAGTAGTTTTATGATCAGATACCTTCTCTTCTCTTCACAGTTTGTATGATTTCTTTCTTTCTTTTAAGCTTCTACTTACTGTATTGTTGTGTGTTTTGTGTGGTTGCTTTGTTTAGTTTTCACAATTTAATTAAATAATTGTTAAAAAAATGCATATATATTTCTTGTTCATACAGCACCACATGTACAGTAGCAAACTCTATAATGCCATGTGTATGTAAAAGAGCTGCATGTGTATTGCTGTATTGTTGTGTGTATTGTATATTGTTGGAGTGTAATATTTAAACAGATTTACATCTACACATCTTGAGCGAGCTGGCTGGTGTGTCTTTCACGCTGCTCCATAGAGCAGTAGTGTTAAACACACGGAGGCAGTTATTCCTCGCTTTGCTTGAGTCATGTATGTAGGGTCTGGTGGGCTCTGCCAGACGGCCAGGTGGTGCTGTGGCTGCTACACCCACGGGAGATGAAGCCCTGCTGGCGGTGGCGCTCGGCCATGTGGTGCTCCCAGTGGCGAAGAGCCCGGGTCTGGGGGGCGGGCGGACTGGACCGGCCTGCTGGTGGGGCTCCGGCCTGCTGCCCTCCGGTCAGTGCTGCCTCTGCTGGGGGGCACGGCCCCAGGGAGTCCGGCACCCTCTTCAGCAGCTAAAACACACACGTGTGCGAACATCATACCCATCCGCCTCAGAGGTGACATCTTAGGGGAAACCGCATCTTTCTGATATACTATCACATTTAAAGGTGAAAAGACACTATGCACACTTCAATACTCTCATTCCATGACGTGAACAGATTGCTCACTGGCAATCTGTAGTGAATACATTTAGAGACTTTGAACATTAGACTGTTGTCAGGGGACTCAATCTACAGTGAGTCTTCCTTGGGGAGTACTTACGAAGCCCCCCTTGTCCTACCTTAACCCTATGGTTGTGTGCACACTGATGCTAGGGTATTATGAGCTCATGTTTAGACCGGACGGACTCACTGACCTCAGTGTCTCCTCTGGCCTCCACCTCTCTCTTAAAATCCTCCAGGCTTCCCAGGATGCTGTGTGGCAGCACCATTCCCTGGGCATCAAAGCGAGGCCCGCCAGGACCTACAGAAACACGGGTTAGCAGTCAGTCTGGAGTCAGACACTACAACACCCAGGAATCTCACCCATGCTAGCTGTCCAGCTCATGTCTCTTACTTTGAAGGCTTACAACCATTAAAATAATTCACATTCCTGAGCTGAGAGGTTAAGAACTACATATAAAATATTGACACCTGAAGAAGACCCCACAGCTGAAACGTTGTGTCTTTTCTATACCTTTCAGCATGGAATGAACCTGTTCCTCTGCAGCCTATGCCTGCTGACACAGCTACCTGCTCAAACGTCTTCATACAGTATATTAAAGTCTTTAGATTTAAAATATATAAAAGTCTACCAGTACATAAGGAGTGTTTGGAGCCCTGCCTGTCATACCCATGTAGTCCAGCAGCTCCACTGTGGCATCCAAGGGGACAGGTCTTGCCACAGCCACCTTAGCTCTCCTCCTCTGCTCCACGAGAGGCCGGCTCTTTCGCACCAGCACCCGGGTCACACCTGGGGCCTTCTGGCTGTTCCTGGGTGGCTGGGGCACCCGCAGCTAGGGGTACAACACCCAGTGACAGGTGAGAAGAGAGACAGGGACATGTATCCATCATTGATGTACTGGTGCTCAAAAAGCACTATGAGTCTAAATATCACCGTTTTTTTTTCCCAAACCTGAGAAGAACAGCGGGTTAATTTTTTTTTTTTACATGCATTCCAGCCCTGGAAGATCTGCCTCCTCTGAGCTGTCCTGAATGAGCCTCAGATTCCGCCTTCCTGCTGTCTGGGCTGGGCCCACCCATCCCCTCTCTGAATGTGGCCCCTGACCTCCACACCCACCTTCTCCAGTTCCTCCACTTTAATGGCCAGTGCTTGTATGTCCTCCCCCTTCAGAGTGGGACTCTGGGGCTGCTCCTCTGAGATAGGGGTGAACTCCTCTGAGGCTTTCAGGCGCTTCTTTTCTAAAATACCAGAAAAAAACACAACAAAGAGATAAATCTTTTTTCTAAAAAAAACAGACAAAATGAATGAGACAAATACTGTGATTTGCATGTGCAATGTTTTCTGTCTTATTCAAAGGAAAGTGGAAGGTGTAGTCAGGACTGTGGTATAAAAGACTTATGAAGAACATGATGAAATACTCCATCTTGCTAATTTAAAATTATAAGGTGAAAAAACTGAAAATATAACAAATCAGATAACAAATGAGATGATACTATATGGTCTTTAATTCAATTCTTAGTAGCCAAATGAGGATTTCGTGCAATGCATCTTGAAATAAATTGGTCTCAACACTAGCTGGGAAGCTTTGTCCAGACTCCCACAATCCTCTGTGTTAAAAAGAGCCTCTTACTCTTAAATGCAATTCATATTTCACAGGTGATTAGTATTATGTCGTAAGTCTATTGGGTTGACCTTGCTAATGCCTTTAAGAATTTTAAATACTCACAGTCTTTTTGTTTGAGAGTAAAAGATTATGTTCTTTCAGCTTGTCAAAGCAGAACATTCCCCTTGAGCCCGTCATTGTATCTAGTCACTCTTCTCTGGCTGATTAATTCAGCTCTAACTATTGTTTCCATAACCTTAAAGGAAGCAGGATCTATTGGTTTCTAACAGCTTGCCCAGTTTTGCCTTTCTATGAAAGGATGCTATATCACCAATGTTCCGTAACGCGAATTACAAACACCTGTCCATTTTGTCCAGGAAGTGATTATCTATGTTTGGGGCCACAGAGGTACCACCTGTGGTTACTGGGCTCCGAATGGATCTTAACAAGACAAACTCATAGAAAACCCTCCTTGCTGGTTAGCCTGAGACATAAAGTGTGCACCAGCCAGACGCACACCCTGAATAACAGAGAACATTAAACAGGCAACATTATCCTTTCAGGCTACAAAATTAGACTGTCTGAGTGAGGTGAATATAGATGGAGGACTCCATATTGGGTGCTGACTCTACATACAGAAGTCAGAATATAAGAGTAATTGCACAGGTCTAATGCCATCTGATGACATAAATACAGTATCTGAGTGTCACTACTGGATCTGGATCTGGAATATTTGTACATTTCCACATTTGTATGAGGTTAGGAGAGGAATCTACAGCCAATTCCTCTATAAAAAAGCTCAATAGTGGGAAGGGTCATCTACTCTTGTAATGGATTAGTCCTGTAAAGTTTAGGGGTGAAACATTACATTAGGATTAAAACGTTCAGTCTTGTCATGAGCCAAAATATCATGAGGTTAAGAATCTAAAATAAACTGCTGCTGTATCAGAGCAGTCAGAGTAGCTGGTATCACTTATTTGAGATACATTCCTGGCAAAAACTGGATTGAATTAGACTGAACGGGCAGATTAGATTTCAGAAGACAGGGAAACTGAAAGGCCACCAGGTTAGGGACCAAGTCAGGGTTGGGTAGTCTTAGAGTATGAGGGCTGGTCTTGCCTCAGAACTGGATCCATACGTCCTTACAGGGAGAGTTTGTGTATAGATCCTGTGCACCACAGTACCAGGTTAGGGAGATCTACCACACCAAGATAAAAGAAGATGCTGCAGGTTTCATGCCTGTGTATTTCTAACAGTGGGAATTAATCACTCAGCTTGTTTTGTGAAACTCTGAACACTGTTATGCAATGCTGGGATTTGTTTCAGTTCCTGAGGCAGACCATTGTTTCCATGGCTACATAACGTTTCTTTCAGTGTACCTTTTTCTGCACCTTTCAGCTACAAAGTACATTAAGTCCCTTTTTGATAAATTGGCTGTACAGGATTTCTGACAGTGACCAACACAGTGCCTATTGTGTGTCCATTCACAGTAGCCTTGGGTTTGAAACCAGGCAGAGGGATGGGGGCTTACTGTTCCTGATCTTTATTTCACATGCAGCCTGTTCTGCACAGCACAATACACTGACTTCACGCACAGAGGTGTGTGAGAGAGCCTGGTGCAAGGGAAAAGAACACAGCGACCAAACCACACAGTCTCCCAGTGTGATGGGGTTCACTTGCCACAGCAGTGCTCCTCTCCAAGACATCACAACCTGTGCAGTGTCCTGTCTGCAAATCAGCAGAGAGGTGCAGGATCGCTCTGCAAGCTTTCTGGCTCGTTGGTGTAGCTAATTGATGGATAATTGTCCTCTAAAGAAAACACAACCTTACAACTACACTGCAAAAGGACTTTACATGCTGACCTTGTGGCTAACAAGCACAATTATCTAATCACACACAATGTTATCTTGTCATTCAGCCTTCAAATCACAGAGGCCTGTGTGCTGCAGTCCTTGCTGTTTCAAGGCTAATTTCCAGCTTTTATTCAGAGAACAAACCAGGCTGGAAGCCTGCAGATCGTTTCCTTAAATGGTCTCTGCATGTTAGAAGTGTGATTTATAAAGTAAAACAGAAAATCATAAGCTTGTTTTTTTTTTTGGAGCAAACAAACACAATCTTAGGGAAATGTCTTTCAGACTGAATTCTATCAAAAACCAGCAGTCCTATTACAGGGCATGCCAGCAACTGCCACTCCTGAAACTGAGTTTAAAGATATGGAAAACAACGAGTGTCTCCTGCCCACTCTTGAAGGGACACATCACACATTATCACTCATAAGTCTAACTGTGTTTTTCCCTCCTGATGTGATGGATTGTCTCATCACAGGAGTAACAATCCACTCCATATACATTTATCAGCTCCCACGTTTTATCCATATAAGTGACGGCCCAAGGCAGCTACAATTGTTCCATGTAGGAGGTGTCACATTTATAGATTCATGTAATCGGTGGCTGTAAGAATGTAAAATATGTGTGTGTGTGCGTGGGCTAAAAGTAAAGGAATCACGATTCACAACAGCGCACTCGTAACGCCTGTCGGCTCAGATCACAGGCATCCCTCTCAACTTTTTTTTAAAAAACTTTTACAAACCATACATTCCTCTGAACTCGGGTCCGAGCATCTTCCCGCCTGTGCGCGGACTGCAGAGACATCGGCTGCGCGTTTTCGCACTCGGGATGAGGGAAATATTTGTCACTTGCGAGGGATCCCAACGCTCTCTAGCAGAGTCTTTCCTCTTACGCCTGTAGCAGTGGGTACGTTTCGGGAATGAGGCTGTGAATATTGCTTTTTCATACCACAGAACTGCACACAGTAATTTTTAAACATGTCTAGCCGATTGTGCGCAATCGGGGCGCATTGCATCGCCTTTGATCCCGCTCCAAGGGTGCTAAAGAAGGTCGAGGCACCGATGGGTCTCTGGAGCAGAGCTGCTCCTTCACAGACTCTCTCAAGGTCCGACCGAGACCCCAGCCCGACCGCTCAAACCACAGAGGGAGAGCTGTGGAAAACGCCCGTGTGGCGACCAGGGGGTCAGAATAGATTATCTCGACGCAGTAAAAGGAAGGACAAGTCGCTGTAGTCAACAAAAGTGAGATAGGTGAGCAGGAGGGTTATACAAGGGGCACACAGCCTTGGGTCATGTGATTCCTCCGGGTCAGAGGTCAGCCGCCGGAGGTCAGGCGGTCCGCTCCTACCTGGGGGTGTCCGGGGCCTCGCCTCCTTCCGCGCTGGCCGGCCCGTGGACTTACTGTTGCTGGACATGCTGTGTCTGCCTCCCAACACCGACGGTTCACAAGCGGACTGTGTAAATAACTCGAAGGGCTTTGCAGACACAGCCCGACTCCTGTCGCCCTCTCTGCGCTCAGATGCTCTGTCTTCCCTGTGTCCAAGTGCAGGACAAATAAAACGACAGTGCACAGTTTATCGCGTTGTAATTGTCAGCTAGGCGAAGGTCCTTCCTCCAGTTTATTTCAGTTTCTTCGCTCTTTTATCTTGTGACATAAAAACTTCTTTCTTCTTTCCTTTTCCCGGCGTCTCTCCTGGACTCCATGGCAACCGCAGGCGCCCTGACGCGACGGAGGGCGTTAAAGGCGAGGACACTTTCTCTCTGCCGACAGATAACCCTCCGCTGCGCTCGGGTGGAGACCGGCCCGGCGCACTCGGGTTTGACCTGGGTGATATCCTGAGTGACAGACGCGAGCGGGCGCTGTTTGTGTTCTCTGGGAAACACCGTGTGCTGCTGAAATATGACTCACGTCGTGTTACTCCAGCACCTGAGATAATGCACTTCGTTCGCACTCCAACACACTGCAAACTTTAAATAAAACATTTAAGACTACGCACAGCTATCGGCCCACGCATATCCAGGAATAAATTATATTGACTAAAAATAACCATTTTTTTGCGTGGTCGTAATTAGCGCTAATCGCGTGGAACCGGGATTACCGCTGTGATGAATAAGCATGTAAACCGTGAGGAACACGGTTACATATGAGGCAGGGTCGCGGTTCAGGGGGATGTTGTGTCCAGCACATCACACGGACACTAAACCAGACCTTCTCCAGCTCAGGATTGCAGTTTTCTTCTGCAGGGGGTTTCTGTTTGCGGATGGTGTCATATGTATGTGCTGAAACACACTGCTGATGAAAACGCCCCAATGCCCAGCAATGAAATCTATCCCTAAGGATATCGGATAGTCACCTTCCCTGAAATCCTTCAAGTCAAGTTTCAAAACATTCTTTACAAATGCTGTTATTGAACCGGTTCTGTGTCTGCCTCTTTGCTTTCCTGCGCTATTCCAAACCATCACAGTCATTGTGTCGTTGTACCCGGCCGCCAGACCGTCCGGACAGACGGACACTGCTCGACTCACAGGTCATAAACACTCCGTTTGCTAAAACTCCCTGCGGCTCTATAAGCCCCGCGGCTGTGGAATTCTATCCCTAAGGACGGCGGGCTGGACCGCGCGGTTCCGGATGGGTCCCGGGTGTCACCCGCGCTGGTGCTGCGCTTCACCACTGATTCAGCAGGTCCCCTCCTGCGTGGAAAGCGATCTGCATTCCTAAAAACCGCAAAACAAATTCAAGGAAGTATTATTAATAAAGTGTGTTTAATTTGTTTTCTAAGAACATGAATTTGCAATAAATTGTTTCGTACCATACTGCAAAATCCATTGCCCTTAACCCCCTTTACACATAGTTCTCCTGATGCCATCTCTGTGTGGTTGTGTTGTTTTTCTTTAACAATGCGCAAATGTAGTCTCCTTGCATTAACCCGGACGTGAGAGTCCTGGCTAGGGTTGTGCGAGTCTAGAACAAACTAATAGTCGTGTTGTCTAAGCCAATACCTTGGATTTGTCCTAGTAAGGACTGGCTAAATTGCCTCAATTAGCTATTAAAAGCCAAACGCGCTACACTGTCCAAATGGTCTCCTCTTGTTGGCAGATTTCTTGATGTCCCTGGCCACGTGATCAGCAGTCGAGACGGACACACTTTGTCCTGCTTGTCAACAGATCGCGCTCTCGTGAGCCGGGAGCTCTGGCTTCGATCCCTGTCTGTCATCAGCCGGCCGGGAACTGTGCAGAATTGCGTGACGCTGCTGCGCAGGCGGCGGTATATATAGAGGTACAGAGCTCACTCGGTGCCTGACAGAACACGGAGACACCGGGAAACTGACTCAAGCCTCCTGCACTACAGCGCTGCAACCAGCGCCAGCCTGGCGTTTTGCACAGCACAGTCCAGACCGACGGTGGTGCCTTTGTAAAAGGAGGGAATGGATTTTTTAACGGCGGAACGGGCTCGCTTCCCCACGGCAGGCAGAGCCGAGGCGCTGCGCTCCTGTGTCGACCGGACGGGGAATGACCCTCCCGGTGTCCGGCTCCCGCTCCTGGCCGGCGGACAGGCGGCCGTGCTCCTGGGCAACACGGGCACGTGCGGCGGGGCCGCAGAGAGGCGTCTGGATTACAAAAACAGCACGCAGCACCCGGCCGCGCCTGGGTTCAAGGTCCCCGGCAACTTGGGTACCATATCCAAAACAGGCATGGGGATTATCAAGACGGTCACATCGCAGTGGCGGCACCAGGAGAGGAAGGCTCGAGTTGTGCGGTCGGCTAGCACGGGCAACCGGTATCCCTCCTCCGACCCCTTCCCCTGCAAGAGGTCTCCCTACGGGCAGCTGGCGGCGGCGGCGCTGCGGGCTCAGCTCTTCCCCAAGCTGTCGGAGCCGGACCCCCGCCTGGAGCTGCTGCGCTCGGTCAAGCCGCACAACTGCCGCCGCATCGTGGTGCTGGGCGCCCCGAGGGTGGGCAAGACCTCGATCGTCCGGAGATTCCTCCGGGAGGGCTTCGAGGAGCGCTACGTGCCCACGGCGGAGGACTTCCACAGGAAGCTGTACCAGATCCGGGGGGAGACCTACCAGCTGGACATCCTGGACGCGTCTGGAGAGAGGGGCTTCCCCGCCAAGAGGAGGCTGTCCATCCTGACAGGTGTGTGGGATGAGTCTCCCGGCCGCGGCTGCAGGCTGGCTAGTGAAGGCGATGCCGTCTGTTACTCTGAGCAAATCAAGCTTTAACTCTGGAGAACCGGGGGTCGAGACATCCTCATCGGCCTCTTAGCCTCCCCCAAGCCCAGCACATAGATCAAAAACAGACAATAGATTAGAACAAACGGTTAGAAGCGGCGAGTTTAAGGTAATAATGCATACTTCTAAAGAGTGTCACCCATTTACTAATCTGATCCCTCTTCATTTGCAGGCGACATTTTTCTTCTGGTGTTCAGCGTGGACGACCGGGGGTCCTTGGAGGAAGTGCGGTCTCTAGCGGTCGAGATCGTGGAGGCGAAGACCAAGCTGCTGAAATCCAAGGAGAGCGTGTGCGTCCCTACAGTGATCTGCGGGAACAAGATAGACCTGGAGCCGCACCGGCGCGCCGACACCCGCGCCGAGGTGTGCAGGGCGCTGCGGGGCCGCGCCTTCTTCGAGACCTCGGCGAAGGACGGCACGAACCTGGAGGAGATGTTCCGGGCCCTGGCGGAGAGGGGCGGGCTTCCCACCGAAACCGGCCCCTCTCAGCACCGCAAGATCTCCATCCGCTCCTACCAGGCGCTGCGCTCGGCTCGGCGAGGGGGCAAGGAGAACAGGGCCGGAGAGGCGCCGTACGGGGCGGTCTACCCGCTGGCGCGGCGCCCCAGCTTCAGCACCGACCTCCGGCAGGTGTTGGGACCCAGTCCGATCAGGAAAAGAAGCAAGACTCTCGAGAAATGTAATATTCAGTGAAACAAAACCTGTAACCTCGATATAAGTTATTTCTTTCACTCTAGAATAAATTGATTATGCTCTTAATATTGGATTTTTTATTTTTAATGATAGAACTATTTTTCATGTAAATACGAGTCGCCTGCGCTCCTGTCTGCGGCTGTGGGCTGCGGGGAACTGGCTGTACCTGCAACACACAGACAGGAAGGCCACGGCGAGTCCCCTTAAGCCTGTAAAAACTCACGAATGTAATAAATGAATGTGAATATGTAAATATACAACTTTTTAATATTTTAATAAAAAAAATATTGAAATTTGATTGCTCCTCCTTCACTCCACTGAAACTGTAAATTAGGGTCTTTGTCGGGAATCGTCATCCTAGACTCTCTTTTCCAAGCCCTTCATAATTGGAGAGATCATCACCGGGCTAATTAGGCAATTAAGTATCAGGTCAGTCATTTAGCTGTTGTTAAGGGTGTGACAGTGCCCAGGCTGATCCCTGGCTATAAAGAGAAAGAGCACAACTACATAACCTACAACAGCACACATCAACAACCCCTGTACTGCACAGGTGCTGTCAAAACCTCACACTTAACTGAAAAAAACATGTCTGTAGTATTAAGGGCTTTAGCCCTACAAAAGGATGTTTCTGCTTTGGATGGGAAAGGTTAGTTTGATCAAATAACTACACAGTGCCCTTTCATCACCCCACCTCCCAAACTGGAAACAAGCTGTAGATCCCGGTGAAGGCTGCTCAGGAGCAGATGGGAAGAAAGGACATTCGCTCACTCCCGATGAAGGGTCTGGATAGACCCTAAGGGGCATGCGCATCAAGAAGGGGGGAAAGGAGAGGGTGTTTGCAATGAGGCTGGGGCAAATGGGGGAGGGGTGTGCTTGGAACTGTCTTCACTCGACGTGAAAGCAGGAATTATTGCAGAGCAGATGAAAAGGCAAACGCCTCCTGAAAAACAGTGATTACAGCGGAAAGGAGCCCACGGCAGCTAAATTTACTTTTCTATAGAAACGGTTCTTGTATTCCGACTCCATTCATAGAAACAGGAAGAAAGTAGGGCTACTGAGCCAAGAGTGGGAGCTGGAAGAGGATTCACACAGCAGTGCCGGAGGTGACTTTTCTCCAGGACTGTGCTGTGCAGAGAAGTGAGGCCGACCAGTCTTATTCGACTTCGTCACTCCAGTCCATCCACTGGTGCCCCATTACTTCATCCATCTAGTTCAACACCCGAATTTCTCACCTACTGTCATCGCCACCGTCCCTCTCATCTTCTCTCTCCCTCCTGCCAGACTGTCTGCACGACTGCGCCGTCCCTGCCTGCATGCCAGTGTCTCCTCGGCACGTCTGACCTCTCAGCTCTTGTGGTTTGCTTCCTTCCCAATTCCCGTTAGGTAACTCACAGCCCTTGTTCACAACAAAGTGGAGCACATGCCAACAGGCTCTTTGCATTACTGCGCTCGACCCACACTGCCGGGACATGCTGCCTGTTTGGGGGCACGATGGTGTGGAGGGCCGGGCTGATGCTCCTTCTGTGTGGAGTCTGCATGTTCCGCATGTGTTCACGTGGGTTTTGTCCAGGTGCTCCAGCTTCCTCCCACCAAACATCGTTGCTGGGTTAGTGACTCTAAACTACAGTACCTCTATGTGCTTGTGTGTGTGTGCCCTGAGGTAGACCGGCATCCAGTCCAGGTTACTGGTTTTAATGGTCCTGCCGACAACTCAATCTGAATCTCTCTCCCATAATATAGAACTGTGTAAACACTCTATTGCCATTAATAACAGGGGCTTACTGTGCACATTGGTAAGACAAACCTGAGCACACAAACAACAGTATTGGGCATCTCAGCCTTGGGACACCACAAAAGGCTTCTGGAAGACATAGAAGAGGCTAATATTCATAATAGCAGCATAGAAATGTCAGGGAATAATGTTCTCTCTCACACTCTGAATACGCTCAGCTTTCAACAATTACCCACGAACAAGGACCACAACAAAAACAGCACTTAATTACAGACCTGAGTCACTGATTAGCTCACTTCTTGTTTTGATTGACTCACATGCAGGACTGTCGGGAGGCTGCAAGCCCTCTCCTGTCTCCTGTCTCACGTATCTCGAGTTTTTACCCGGACGCAGGAGGATGGCTCACACACCACCCGAAGAGCCACACACAGCTCAGAGTGAAGTGGGACAGAGAGCCCTCAGTGCATGATGTTCCAAAGAAGACAAGCACGTGCCACGTGCGAAGAAGGAAAAAAAGCTTAATTTGAACCATTAGCTGTGAAATGTGTATTGTGCTACAGCTGCTGCTGCAGGGGACACAAGAGCGTGAGGCAGCACAGACACAAGGGCTGATCCAGCACCCTGCAATTCCACTGAACTTCCCACCACACCGACAGTCCCTGCTACACTAAGAGGATGAAAGGTTTAGGGTTTTGCATTGCTTCATCTGAGATCCTGTCCCACGTCGGATGCAGGCTGCGACACTCCTGCGGTATTCAGGGTGGAAAGCTGGGACAGAGGGCAATGGTCTGTCCGTGTTCTCTCAGAGCCGAGAGCCAGGTGTGCACGTGAATGTGCTGCTCTGTTTGTCAAGATGACCACACTGTGGCTTTGCCTCTGGCTCTAGCTGCTGAAACGTGCACATTACCAAAATAACAGCTTGGGCTGTTTGCTTATTTGTGTGACTAAGTGCAAATAACAGTGCGTTGATTATTGTCACTCTGAAGGCTATGACACACTGCTCACTAAAGAACTGGCTATACTCTTGCTGTTTACCCAGTTTACTACACCACATTAAAATGGACCAGAATGGGAAAAAAATTGTGAAGAACAACAAAAAATCATTGTAGTGTGATTGAAGCCTGCCAGGCACGAGCAGTCCAGGCAGCTGGCGGCTCTGAGGATGACGCAGCAGAGCTGAGTGAGCAGGAGTCAGGGGACCCCGCGGGGAGACGGGGGGCCCCCTGCACAGCGCACACTGCAGCGTGACGGACAGACCTGTGCCAGGCCACTCTCCCCTCACGTGTCTGCACAGCACTGCGGAGAGCGGCGCCGAGGGCAGAGCAAGGAGACCCAGGCAAGCTTAGCTGTTGATGCTTTTTGTGCACAGGAGCTCCTCTGCAGGGTCTCCTTTGCTCTGCACAATCCACTGATTTGTGCATGAAAACATCAGGATCAAGGATTACAAAACCCTGAATGATTTCCTTGTGTACTGTTACCACTTATCAGGGCAAATTAAATCCCCTGAAATCTCTCTGTGGGAATGTTACATAAACAAGGAGTTAAAAGAATGTAAAAATGCTGCAGGAGAGCCGAAGAGCAAGAGTTGAACCAGCTCGAAAAGAGAATTTATGAAAAGTGCCTCTACTGGAAATGAAGGCTCTCCGATATGCTCTACTGTAATCTCAGAACAGCACAAACCACAATTTTTACTAAGCTGTCAGGGGAGTGAACTATCACTGTTTGTAATTTAATGGTAATCTAATGAGGGATAAAGTGCATCATTTACACTGATACCCTTCACATTCTATTAACTGTGAAGCTCACAACCTCTAGGTTTACATATTCCAACAGATCCTGTCACTGTTTTAAATCAAACACACAGCAGCTGTTTGGTCCAGAAATGTCTGCCAGGAAAGACTTAATGCTCTGAGAAAACAGAAATCAGCTCTTGGATGTTTTTCCAATTAAGTGTAGTCAAATTTCAATGAACATCTCCATTATGTAACTTGGCCATCTCCTGCCCAAACTTCCGATTGGACTTTACCCTTCATGGCCTCCTAATAATCCCCATCTCTGAACTGGCTCCATCACTCTGCTCTCCTCCCCACTGAGAGCTGGTGTGTGGAGAGAGTACTGGCGCATCATCCAGGTGGGGCTGCACACTGGTGCTGGTGGGGGGGATCCCCATTACCTGTACAGCGCTGTGAGTAGAGTGTCCATAAAAGCACTATATACAGTAAGTGAAAGTTAATATATTATTATTTTTTAGGAATTTTCAGCTTGAAAGCAAATAACTTTAAAAACACAATTCAAGCAGCACGTTCTTCTCTCTTTGTTTTGTGTCTTTACACAGAAAGACCAAAAGCCAGCTCCCGGCTTTGTTTCTATGACATTTAAATGCCACCTGAGCGCAGCTGTGCACCTCTGGAGAGAGAGGCCGTGCCCAGAGCGCACACCTGCCGGCTGGCCTCGTGGCTCTGAAAGGCTGTGATGCTGACTGACAAGCTGCGCAGGCTTATCTGCGGGGCTGCATTTTCCGTCCCAGCGATCAGAAACAAGGACACGCCAGCTCCTGGCACGCAGCCTGTCTTCTCACAGCCAGGTGCCTTCAGGAACAGGGGCTTTGCACGCAACATCACTGAGCACGCAGCCTGTTCCAGCTGCTTCACACTTCCCACAGGCTGGACAGCAGAGTCCGGATCCCTTTTGTCTGTTTGGGGCTGGAACACTCACAGGTGAAAATTCACCAGGGTTTAAAGCCTGAGAGACGAGGCTCATGGGTGCTGTTCTGTTTCTATGGAAGAAAGGACACAAATTCCACAAGATTCTAATGCACAGCTATACTGGTCATGTTCTGCAGAGCAATGTAATTACACAAAAAATAATTACTGTATTTACCAACCATTTACAGTCTCCAATGGATCACTGTCCAACTGTCAAATTAATCTGCCATAACGACTGTCATTAAGGATTGAAATCAGCCTGAAACATTCAGCAAGTAGAAATAATTAATAAGATCAAGCTGACAAACAGGACTAAACCTGCCTTCTTTAAAAGGCGACAGCGTATGAAGTCACAGGCTTCCAGTCCTCCTCACGTCCAACGCCTGCAGCACAGATGGATCCAGGAGGATCCTGTATCCCAGAGACTCAGGAACCACCGGGAAAAGAACAGTACTGCCCTGTTAAGCCCAGCTTCTCTTAATTCCCCCCACAGATGACTCGCTCCACTGCCGCATCCTGCAAGTTCCGGGGCCCCTGTGTCCAGGTGCCCAGTCTGATGCCGTCTGCTGACCCCCTCAGTGCCGCCCAGCCTCCTGTTGTGAGAAGTGTGCGTGGAGCTGGACCAGCAGAGTCGGCAGCAGGCTGTCCAGGAGTGCCAGACCGTCCCATGAGCAGCGCATCCCTCTAGAGAGGGGAAGAGAGACACCCAGCTCAGTGCGATAACCACACAGCGGTTTTATGACATGCAAGATATATCAGCTCTTATGAAATGATAAAGCATGAAACATATATTATTATTATTATTATTATTATTATTATTATAATGTCCTGTCTATTCCAGTAAAGTTTCCAAGCTTGAACTTCAGTAACTAGTGCTGAGTGACACTCAAGTGTCAGCAGCTCCTGAATGCTGAAACCACAAGGCTCTGCAGCAGCACTCCCTGCACCCTCAAGGCTCAGCTCAGCTCACAGGTCACCCAGCTGTCTCTTACAGACAACAAAGGGTACAAACAAGACGAGGCCATCCTGCTCGTCTAGGGCATTTGACTGCTGTGATTCTACACCTGTCTGCCTGTGCACTCCACTCCCCTCATCAGGACTGCCTCTAGCAAAGTGCACGAACAACTTTGAAAATAAAAACATATATATAACATAAGAATGGTGTCAAGCAAAGAAACTTAAATAGCAATAGACTGAAAAATAAGCATTCACCATTTTTCTTGTTTTTCAGGAAGTCTTCGAGTTCTTTATTCCCTTTTGTGCTTTCACACAAACAAGGCAATTACAGAAGACAGGGATTCGTGACTGCAGCTCTCGGCCATTATCAGTCTCCTCTTTCATCTGCCTGCTTCTCACCCCCCTCGATACAGATCCTCTCACAGCCACACAAACAGCAGCAGCAGACCGTCTGGTATCAAACACGTCAGCTTCAGCTGCTTGTGTTCCCCTGAAGGACTAATTGAGCCTGAGCCGTGAAGAAGACACGACAGCAGCAAAACACTGAGCTTGACCTTCTTCCAGGACACAACTCAATCAAGTCAACAACTTCTTCTGGTGAGTTTTTATGACACCTTAGTCAGGAACTTTTTTTTTTTGAGATCATTATTATATGAACCTCTGAATTTCTTTAATGCTGTAGCTCCACTGGCTTTCCAAAAACCCTCTGGAATTTTTCTGAAGAACCTAGAGGAGCCCAGAACTCTATCGCACTTTGTACCTGTCATCCAGGACAAGGAGCCCTCCTTCCAGCAGCTCCTGTACCTCCTGGGACTGTCCCACTACCTCTTGTAGGCTCTGCAGCGGACTGAACTGCCTCCAGTTCTGTAACACAACACAGCTGCAGTGAGTTTTCACCAACGCTGACAGACAGCACCACTGGGCACCAGACCTCAGCCTCTCTCAGGAGCACCCTCAGACCCGGCCCGTCTCCTCCAAAGGATATTAACTGTCAGGGTCATTAACAGGATCAGGAATTTTCTCTTCACGCCTGCTGGAGGAACCACTGAAAGCAGTTTTTTGTTAACAACAGCAGTTTATGTTAACAAGCATCCAGCATGTACCTTGCTCTCTTATTTACTAATTATTTACTTTACTTATGGGGCTGCTGCCTGCATTGTGTGCAAGGCCAGTGTGTTTCACACAAATGAGGAAGACCATGAAAGTCCGTTCATTAGTGTGCAGGACAGGACAGGAGCTGGTGTACCTCGTGAGGAATCCCCTCGGTCATGCGCAGTCCCATCACCAGCACCTCTTCCAGGCTTCAAGAGAGAAACCCTGATTAGACATTTGAGAGCAGCAGGTCCATGCTAGAGAATGGAACAAGCCATGTACATGTACATTTTAATTTGCATGTCCTGCTAAATAGAGGAAGATGAATATGGCAGCTCAGGCTGAACCAGGAGAATACAGTCATGAAAGTTTGTGAACCCTTCAAGGTGGTCATTATTTTAGATATTATATGAACCTGAACTCTTACTGAATATATAGAATGAATATACTAAATAAAGACTTCCCACACACAAAAAGGGATTTGAAGTCACAGAATATTAGACTGTGATATTTAACAAATCACCAGATTTTCTTGTGTGCAAAAGTTAATGAGTAAATAACTTGTGGCATCTCCTTTAGCAGCAATAAAGTCACACAGTCGCCTCCTATAACCAATCATCAGTCTCTGACATCTTGCTGGAGGGATTTCTTCCCACTCCTCTTTACAAAACCCTGCCAGCTCTGTGAGGTTTGAAGGATGTCTTGAATGAAAAGCCCTCTTCAGGTCCTACCACAGCATTCAATAGGATTCAGGTCAGGGCTTTGGCTTGGCAATTCCACGACATGGAACCTCTTCTTCCTAAGCCATTCTTTAGTGGACTTACTTGAATGTTTAGGACCGCTGTCTTGTTGAAACATCCACTTTGTGCCCAGCTTGAGTTTTTGAACTGAAGGCATGACATTCTTCTCAAGAATTCCTTGATATTTCTCAGAATTCATGATTCCCTCAATGATGTCAAGTTGCCCAGAGCCAGAGTTAGAAAAACAGCCCCATACAAGGACACCCCCACCACCATGCTTGACAGTAGGAATAAGGTTTTGTTGATGGTAGGCTATGTTGGCTCTTTGCCAAACATGGCCCCTCTTGTTGTGCCCAAGTAGTTCAATTCTGGACTCATCTGTCCAGAGAACAGATGGCAGTTCTCTGGCAGTTTTGTCCTTTCTTGACAGGAGAGGCTTCTTCCTGGCAACCCTTCCAACAGATGCCATTTCTATTCAGGGTTCTTCTCGTTGTTGATCTATGCACCACTACTCCAGAGGCAGCTACGGAGGCGTTTAGTTTACAAATTCAATTAACTTGAATTAAAACTGGACATGTGTGTCGTTCACACAAGTGCAGAATTAGTCCTGTTATGAGTCTTTACACACTTGGCCCTGGAGGCGACCCCCCGCCCTGCGGCCGCACTCCGCCGCTCACTCACAGTCCCAGGGGGCTCAGCTCCACTCTCCGCCGGGTCCCGTGGCCCCAGTGCCGCACCTCCCTCATCCACACGTCGGGCTCCAGCGTCTGGGTCCGGGCCTCTCTCCGGGAGCCCCCTGCCCCGCGGGGGACAAATCGGCCGTGGGCCCCTGCAGGAGATCATCTTTCCAGAATTAGTTGCCTCGCTCCAGCAGGAGAGCTGGCACACAGCTTAAGATCAGGACCTGGGTGCAGAAGCACAGTCGGGGAAGCTAAAATCGTAAAGCAAAGCACCAGCTGGCTGAGTGCACTCCCAGGAGTGACCCGGCTCAGGGCGGACTGGGCTGGAGTTGGAGAGCAGGAGCGGCTTTCATTAGGGTCGTCCAGTAAGCAGAGCCTCCTGCTCTCAGTGCTCACCTGGTCCCACTCCAATGTACTGGCTGGCCCTCCAGTAGCCCTGGTTGTGCACACTGACGGCTCCCTGCAGGGGGTTAACACACACAGCACACAGTAGAATCAGCTAACAGGTTCACACAAGCCCCCTTTGGTGGACGTCTGTGACACTGGCAAGCATTTGAGTCGCTATGAGCTCGGTTCGCCCTCACCTGCTCAATTCGGAATGCAACAGTCAGATTTTCAGACTCACATTTCGGGTGAAATTTGACACCTCATACTGGAGGAAGCCTGCTTTTCCCAGAATCCTCCTGGCAGCCTCATACATGTGGGCAGTGACATCATCACTGGGCATGGTCAGTTCGCTCTGCTGCACCCGTTTGAAGAGGGCTGTCCCTCTCTCCAGGGTCAGCTGATACAGAGACACGTGATCATCGCTGACCAAGAGCAGGTCCTCTAGCTCCTTTTCCCAGGATTGCAACTTCTGGCCTGGGCGCCCGAAAATGACATCGACTGAAACGCGACCTGGACACAGCCGCTGAGCCTCTGCCAGGGCCTGCAGGGCATGCTGGGAACTGTGGTCTCTTCCAAGGAGCTCCAGGTCTGCATCATGCAACGACTGCAAAGACAACAACACAGGTCCACTGCTGCAAATCTGAGGTCCAGTGGGGTGTGTCAGCGGCAGTGTGCGGTTTGTTTGCCTGGACAGTGAAGGAGTGTGGGAGGGTGAGGTGTCTGTCTGACCTGCACCCCTATGGAGAAGCGGTTCACTCCAGCGCTGCAGAACTCACTCAGTCTGGCCACGTCCTCAGGGGTGGGGTTCACCTCCAGAGTGACCTCTGCGTTACCAGGGAGAGAAGTGCACTTAGCAACAGTTTCCAAGACAGCAGCAATGGTGTCAGGCCTGGCAAGGCTTGGAGTCCCTCCACCAAAAAACACAGAAGAAATGCTAAAAAAGAAAGAGGGAGAGGAGAAACGGGACAGAATAAAAATCAAAGCTGCCACTCAGTACTCTCTACTCGACCCCCCACCCACTTCTGAGAAACTTTCTGAGCTCTAATCTGCATGCAGTCTTAGTCCTCATTCTCAGCAGAAATTAATACAATACTTCGTCCTTATTTTGTTTTAATTTGCTACTTCATTTTTGCTTTGCTGTACAAGTGAAGTTAACACAAAACTATACGTGTGGTCCTGTGCTTCTTCAGCAGAACAGTTATATGGCAGCAGCAGGTGAAACTGCTACCCAGTGGGAGTCAGACCTTCACCCGCAGGGAGGTGTGGAGCTCTGGGACAGGACAGACACAGAGACACGAGGGGGCAGGAGAGACATGCGGGGACAGGAGAGACACAGAGACACGGGGGGGGCAGGGCCAGGAGAGACACAGAGACACGGGGCCAGGAGAGACATGGGGGGGCAGGAGGGACATGGGGGGACAGGAGGGACACAGAGACACCAGGGGGGCAGGAGAGACATTGGGGGACAGGAGAGACACAGAGGGGAGGGGGACAGGAGAGACACAGAGACATGACTCACCAGGAAACCTGGCTAAGATGCAGCAGGGTCTCCGTCTCCCGCTGCAGGCAGTCTCTCATGGCCTGCTGGTCCACCCGCTGGGACACATACTTATTGAAGTTGCAGTAGGAGCAGCGTCTCCGGCAATAAGGCCACTGCGTGGAAGAGCAGGGAGAAGGAGAGAGAGGGGGGTTATTGAGAAAGAGGGACAGAACTACTGAAACTGATCTAGCGAGAGGCGGTGGAGTTGAGGATAATCTCCTAGATTCCACCACTAAAACTGGGGATTGTGAGTTGTTATGGAAAGACTTTACCACTGAGTACTGCTTGAGAGAAGCCCCTGTCTGGGCCACTGATCCACACAATGCTGTTTCAGTGTCCGGACTGACTCTGCTAGCGAATCTGGCATGTGGGCTCTGTCCTGTCGGGAGCTAGTACTCACATGCACGTACAGGCCGGCCTCCTCGCTGCGCGGCGGCGCACAGTCGGGTCTCCGGTCACTGACCTCCCGCTCCGAGCGCCATGACCCGGCTGTGCCGAGGAGCAGCCGGTCCACAGCTCGAACCAAGCCGGACCGCCGCGCCAGCCCGCCGAGCATCTGCGTCCTGCTGCGCTCTGACCACACTGCCCAGGACAGCAAGCGCTTTCTCAAACTATACCGGCTCACACAGAGAAATTCAGTCTCTCCTCCCAACGACTCGTTTACAGTCAAGTTTAGTAACTAACCAGAGAGAAAGACGCATGCAGTCACTGCGGTGCTTTACTAACCGAGCGCGATCTGCATCACAACGTCTCCATAATACAGATTCTTTAGTTTCAAATGGTTTTATTGTGTCACGAAGCAGTGCTCGATCAGTGTAGTAAAATGTGTCGCCTGTACGTCCCAGAACGAATTACTGGGATAAAAACCTAAAATCGGAAAGCAAATTCGTCTCTGATCTTAACTCACTGCACACAGGAAGTAAACCAACGCTGTTCCTACGAATGTGCGGACCGTCACCACGAGTGGGCGCCAAAGAGAATACTGTTATTATTGTAACGCAACGGGGGCTCAGGCGGGCGCCCTTGCCGCATCTGTTCGGCCCCATCCCGACTGGAAGCTCGAACCCGGGACTTCCGCGTCTCTCTGCAGCGACCTAGCCCCGTGAGCTAAAGAGAGATCTCTCCACAGCCCAGTAGCTGTGGTCCTGCTATCACAGGGAAGGGCAGTGACGTCACCCGCTCTGGTACGCCGGCTCTTACACACACTGCTTGTCGGCCGTAAGCGTTACACTCTCCCCCGCTTAAATCGCCGTCCCCGGCGAAGGGCTATCCCGCCCCGCTTCTGACACCAATGTAACGCAACGGGGGCTCAGGCGGGCGCCCTTGCCGCATCTGGTCGGCCCAAAGTATAGGTGGCTCGAACCCGGGACTTCCGCGTCTCTCTGCAGCGACAGATGCGGCAAGGGCGCCCGCCTGAGCCCCCGTTGCGTTACATTATTAATGTCTGAGATAAATAATCTGAATGTCAGGTTGCGCCCAACCTGCCAATGTATCTCCGACCTCTGTTAATCTTGTTACCCAATATTAATCGACAGCCAATCCCACCTTCTTAATCATAATATTCAATTCTCTTTCAATTTTATGAGACAACAACGTAAATTCTGCTTAATTTTTTAACAGTATATAACTCAGATTTGATATATAATATATTAGAAGCACTTTAATTAGCATGTAAAATATAAAACGATTAAATGTGTTGTCCAAAAAAAGTGATTCTTCGCCTGAAGGATTCAAAGACCTAGTCAATCCGCTGTGTACAGAAAGGGCCGCCAGGGGGCGGCCAACACCAGGCTATGCTTACCTGTCTGTACGGCAGGCGCGCATTATGCTGCACAGAGCGAGTTCCCTACCGGCCTGAGGGGTAAAGTGTTAATTTCCTGTCTCGCCACTCTTCCTTGCTCTGGCTCCGGCATTCAAATTCAAAAGCCTATTGGCTAATGGTTATAGTGTTGCTAAAGCAATAATTGCAAAACATTCACAAACAATTCTAACTACAACAAAATATTATTTTTTTAAGATGCTGACTCCGTCCCTCAGGCTGTGAGTGGATATCACATACAGGGCTGCAGATCTGTTGAGTTTTCTCTCCCAGTACGATTAAAGGCTGTGCTGAATTCTGTCTGGTGTGGGAATTCTGGGATTAGATTTGTGTGGGGGAGGAGTGTTTGTGTAATCCCAGAGTGTTTCTCTCGGAGCAGCAGGAAGCACATCTCTGTCTCTGCTTCTCTCTGCCGGCAGTAGGAGCAGAGCCTGTTCTCTCTGGTTGGCCAGGTCTGGTTGTGTCCAGTTCCTATGCCCAGGCTGTGGTCACTGGACCTGTAAATCGTCAGAGTCTCCCTCTGCTCGCTATCTCTGTCCTTGGTCAGATAGTTGGCCAACGAGCTGTGCTGTCTCTCTGATTTCACTCCGCTGAACTCGCAGATAACAAGGCATAGAGCTGCTCAGCAAGACCACACTAGAAGCATGTGACTCTAGCTCTGTTCTGTCAAAAGCAGTCTGCTCAAGGAAGGTGAGCTCAACACAATTAGAGACAATACAAAAGAATTTTATAAAAACATATTTTGTACTTTTACCATTTCCATGAAACTTCACACCCTGTGAAAGATGCGAACTTCTTTTCACATTTGCCGTTTGAGCAGAACTGTCACTACGTCAGGAGATCATGCAGGTCTGTGGATTTCAGGACTGGAAAAAGAACTGGGCTGTTCACTGGAGCAGCTGGGTCTGTTTAACTAGGAGTTTTGGTTTAAAATGAGATCAGACATGTGTTAAAAACTGGCATTATATAACGGGACTTGTTCAGCTTGGAAATGATGGTGTTTATCCAGGATCTCTGCTGCAAGGTCAATATTTGAAGTACAAACAGAAGCCTGAAATAAAACTCTGCTTCAAAAGAAACCAAGAAATGGAATGACAGCTTAACTCAGAATGAAAATGATATTTTTTCCCCCTCCCTTTTGCTGCGATGGGGAATGAAAATGTTTGATGTTTTGTACAGATCCACCTGTGTCCAGCCAGACTGGGAGCCATCAGGCTCCCTGGGGTGTGCTCTCAGCCTTGATGAGTTGGGCACAGGACAGTCCAGGTGTGGCCTGACTGTTGCCACTGGCTGTTGCCTCTTCTCACCCCTACAGCACATTCACCGTCACTGGATGAGAACTTCAGAGCCACAGACAGGTGACAAGAGAGGTCCTGCCATTCTAAGCAGCTTGTCCACCACGCAGAGATGCGTTACTCCCCATGCATACTGTGCCCCCTTATTCCCAGTCCTGTACACACTCCAGGTTGTGGTTCCACGGGTTCTGCGGTTCAGGTGGAGTCAGGAACTTGTCGTGAGTGTTAGTCGTGGGCCCCTGTGTGGTTTCTGAAGAGCAGCACGCAAGCAGCGCAGCTGATGGAGGTGCAGCCATCGCCCGGCGAGTCTCGTGACTTCAGCCCTTTAGGACAAGTAACAAGCAGAGGCTCCGCAGGGCTTCAGGACCACAGCCAAAGAAAAGGACTCCCAGGCGAGTCAGACAGAGAATTACAGGAGAAAACTCCTCAATTACACCAGGACAACAGTGGCTTTTACTGTAAGATGTCAACAAGATAAAATAGCTCTTTACTCTCCCCCACCCCAAGATAACACTGAATGAGGGATTTATTTTGCTTAGGGTAATTACCCTGTATTTTACCAATTAACATGTTTGTATACAGGCAAACCAAACAATTCTCTCCTAGACCTCCCCAGCTGAGAGAGGGCTCCATTGGAAAGGCCTGTGCACATGAGAGCTGAGAGTTACCAGTCTGGCAGGGACAGTGAACACCAGAACCTTGCTTTCAGATTCTGTGTCAAATCTTTGTTTTCACCCCTGCTGAGGAATTCAAGTCTTTTCAGTGACAGATGTGCACATCTGCAGGCTGTGGATTAATGAAATATCAGCAGATGAGGCTTGTGCACAGGATATGAATTCTGAAGCCTGCAGAAGAACGTGGTGTGGATTCAAGCTCTTCAGCTACGGAGTTCCTTGTGGGATCAGTGTGTTCAGATACACAGAGAGGGGTTCTCGGCCCATGTGTCACTGTTAATCCCTCCCTCTGCACCTGTGTCCGGTGAGTGGTCAGGTCTACATTGCTTCCAATTATTCTGCCCTTGTGTGACTCCCAGCGGAACAAAAGTCTCATCTAAAAGGACAGTAGCCTTTGTTGTCATTGAGCAAAGCTTCCAATGTGCATAAAGGCACCAGCCAAGTGAATTAGACAGTAAGAGTGCACCTTTGTGCCAGCATCCTCATTGTTCTGGACTGTAGCGAGCGAAGGGCCGGTTACATCACAATGCCCAGAGCAGGGATGGTGAAGCACAACAGTGTCTGATCTCAGCAGGAGCAAGTTTTGTTTGATTTTCTTTAACCATGAGTTGTGCTTTGTAAACTGCTGATGGTATAGTACTGATAACGCTGTCAAAGAAGGTGCTGAGGTTGTCAGTTTCCGGGAAGGTGTCGAGGGCAGTGCAGAAGAGGGGGTTAAAGAAAGTGTCGCACTGCAGGAAAGTGGGAAATCCCAGGGCTGCTTAAGGTTGGGGATCCCTAAGCGTATCTTGCCAGGGGAAACCTGCACAGTAATTGTTCAGTTTTTACTATGTCTTTACCATACATCTTCCTGCTGTTCCTTGTCTGACTTTCATTGTGCTTTCAGCATGGCGCACCTATAGAAACCACGATAAGAGATCTCTCATCTGTGGTTTCCATTATCATGTGGTGCAGCGCTGGGGCTCAGGCCCAGGTGGGGGTGTGGAGGGTGGGTTAGAGTAGGGTAACTGCTGATACAAGAGCAGAGGCTGAGTGGAGTCCATGTAACTAAAACAGCATTATGGCCCTGATAACAGTGACCTCCAACTCTGACTTGCTCAAAAGACACGGTTTGTTATTTAACACAAAGGAAAGCAAAATTGGCTCCCAGAAGAATGGATTTAGTGAGAAAATGGAGGCCTTTTATCTGTGGAACCTCCCTTAGATCAATGGACTCTCCAAAGACAAATATTGGGATAGGAGGCTGTCACCCTGGCCTCGGGGTTAATGGCTGCTCTTGTTTGTTTATTTGTCTTTAATAATGTTTGCACAGGAGGATTAAAAGTGCAGGAGAGGAGAGGGTTTCCTCTGCATTGGCACGTGAGTCCCATTGTTTCTCCTGTCTTGGCGTCTAGACAATGGGAGAGTGGCCAGCACTCTGCTCCTCTGTTTCAGGCCTCCCCACTCTTTCCTGAGACCCCCTGTGTGGCAGCTCCGGGCCCCAAGGCCCTCAAATACCATTCCATTCCAACCTAGAACTTCATGTAAGACAGATTAAACCGCAGCTCTGCACATGAACTGTGCTCTTCTTTTCACCTGAAAAGAACTGAACTCCCTTGCACTGCATCTGGCACAAACACATCAGAATCTTTCAAACATTTTCTGAAACTTTTCATTTCAACTAATTATGCTTAAAAAAGACATTTAAAATAGATTCTACCTGAATAAGAATTGCTTCTCAGTAACTTGAACTAATGGTAAAAACACTCTGAAGTAAATGGGTGTTATTCTGATGTAAATCAGTTGTTGGGATAATAGCTCTGCAGGATTTACGTTCTAAGATATACTGTAAATGTCACATAAACCTGAGATGTGATAAGTTTGCTCAAGCATGACTGATCTCTTCTGTTAGCTGGTCTCTGTGCTAATGCTTGTTTTGCTATCATCATTGGCGGACGATCTTAATAGAGAAATATGTTCTATTTCTGTTTTCAGCAGTATTTATAGACTTCCTGCCAGACTGTTCATTGTGGAGAGTTTTACCCTTTGATTGTAACTGCAGGACGCAAGTGGACTGTAGGTCTGGCTATGTCCAGGTTAAGGAGCTCACACCTATATGGAATTTTGACCAGGATGGTGGAGAAATATTGACATTAGCACAAAGTTTCAGAGGCAGAAATAAAAATGAAAGAGAGACTTGATTGAATTTAGACATCTCTGTGTATGAAATAAGTTCCTTCTGTAATGAGCTGTTATCACGAATTT